GCTCCGCTCCCGGCTATATTTTTCCTCCCAGATGGTTCTTCCCACTTTTTGTTTTCCTCCCAGTTGGTGTGCTCTCAATTATTAGATTACGGTAAAACATTAAAGGAACATTCTTCAGGGTGAAGCAGGGTTTCGCCACGAAAAGCTTCAGCCAAAACTTATTTTTTAAACCCTATTATAATAAAATATTCTTTGAATCGAAGAAACCGAGTTTCGTGCTGTAAACTTTGAAATTTTTCGAAAATGCGACTGAAAAAGCACAAAAAGCATAATTTTAAAAAAAAGAGGAGAATAAAGTTGAGCCTGCAACAGAGCGCGCATGAAAGCACACACAAAACAGCGTTCCAATTTGGGACAGTTCGACTCCTTACCAGTTCGAACTTGTAACAGTTCGATTCTGTCCGCGTTCTGTTCTGGTACGTGTGCGAAAAAAGGACTGTTCTGAATTGAATCTGTTCGATTTTAGGTCTGTTCGATTTTGAAAACGTTCGAATTCGTCGTACCCCCGAAAAAAATTGATCTGACTATGAGATTACTGTAAAATTTTAACAGAACATTTTTCGGGTGGAAGCCGGGTCTCGGCCAGAAACGCCTCAGCCAGAGTTTTTTTTTGTTAATTGAAAAAATTTTATGAATTAATGCAACAAAATCACATATCTAACTATCATCTAATTGTAAAGTGAAGAAAATTGAGAAGAAATATTTTCTTTTAAAAATCATGAAATCGAGAATTGAGAGAAAAGCACACCTATTAAATAGTGAATAAAAACTACAGGAACATAAATAAAGTAGATTCATTAAAAATTAAATAAGTCAATTCGAAAAATCGGTCGAAAAACAAAATCTCGCTAAAATTCAAAATTCGAAAAATAAATTGCTGGTACAGTAAAGCTTCGAAATTTCAAAATAGATCTCTGATTACTTCTTCCTGAAATGAAATTCAATCCCCATTCCCCAGCTACATAAAATCTTTAGCAATTTCGAATTTACCCAATGACATATCTATTACATATATCTGTCGTCCTCTCGTTTAACTTTAGGTTCTCGCTATCCAATTCAAACCCTTTTTGAATTCTATCTGTTTGTTCCATCTTTCTCGCTTCCCGATTCTAATGTCCCTGCTTCTTTCCCGATGAATCTCATTGTGTGGTTTGCCACGTGTTTTCTTTTCGGCATTTAACCAGTCATAAAAAGTAACCAGAATCGTAAAAAAATCGTGGAGAAGACCAATATAACCTTCCGAATGTTATCATACTGCCCTCTCCCTCTTCCTCTGTACTCCGTCTTTCCCTTGTGTCCTTGTCCTTCTTCCTCTTACTCATTCCCACCGGTATGCAAATACCTTCTTTTCTCTGTTTCTCAGCTTCCCTCCAATTCTTACGCTATTTCGCACGCTGAACCGTTCTACGTTCACCCATTTTCTCTTCCATTGCGCAAATGTTGTTTTGGTTGTGGTATTCGAGTTAGAAAAGCTGAACCGTAGAATATTCTGGTAGCTTCGAAATTTGTTTTTTTTTTCGCTATTTCGTTTATTGGAATATTTATCGAAAACAAGTAGGCGTGGTGAATCATCAAAACTATATTTTCTTCTTTTTTGAATTTAAATACTTACGAAGCCTTGAATTTATCTTCCTTAATCATAAGGCAATATAAACACCTTCTCTCCGAGATGTTCAGAAACTAAACAAATATTTTAACCCATGATGTTAACTACAATCGTTTTATTGAGCAATCATGTGCTTCTTTCGAGTTATTTGAAGCTTTTACTAGAATAATGAAATAACCTGGAAAAAAGCAAATCTTTGGGATTCCGATCCTTTGGCAAATTTCTAGGAATTCAATGACAAATCGAAATCTACGGATCTAAAAAAAACTATGAAAATCGAAAATGGCTTAATGAGCTAGATCTAGGCTTTATTTTCAACAACAATCTTTGAAATAGAATAAATAATGTAAAGTTGGGGAAATTCCAGAAGCTATAATTTTTTAATTCGAAATTCAGAATTATCTAACTCTCAGATAAATGTACCGATGACTTCTTCTTCACCACCGCCCCTACTTGGAATGCAATTGTAAGGAACACTCCCCAATTTTTAACTCCCGGTCAATTTTCTACTTTAATCCAGTCTTCCATCACCCGTTTTTAGTTGTCTGCTTACCTTTTCCCCTTTTTTTAATATCTTGCCAACCTTACATGTCTACTATTTTCTTCCCCATTCTCTAGTTTCATCTCGTTAGGGATTTTATCTAGAACTTCCGTTATAACTTTTGTGCCATGTTTTCTTCTGATCAATAAATTATTATTATTATTATTAACTTCTGGCTGGTTACAGGCTATTCAAAAGAAAACCGAATCTTTTCTTTTTTTTAGAACTTCACCATCAGCCACCAAAGTTTTTGAAACTAAGAATTCAACGATTTGAAAGATTAGAATTTTTAACCCAAATGGTTTTAGTCCTAAAAGTTTTCTATTTTCACTGATTCTGACTTTTTTTAATGTTTTCTGCCCTGGTAGTGATGTACTGTCATTTGTAAAATTCGGCCATAAATTATTGCTTATCAGATTGAAACCTACTGTTTTCCTTTTTTTTGTCAATTTCCATTGTTCTCAAAATTTTTGAATCCCAAAATTCTCCAAACTTTTCTTCAATTCCCTTTCCGATTTCACACATTTATCTTCTTCTTTTTTTTCCAAATTCTTTTAAAATTGGTCTTCTACCAAGCCGTTCCTTTTTCTTTTCTTCCAATTCGTCCCCGTAACGTGACAGAAAAAATGAAAGAGGGAGAGAGAAAGAAGGATACATCCGATTATCGCCTCTTTCTCCCGGGTTCTCGCGTCCAATTGCTCCCAAAAACTCTGTCTCTCTTTTCCATCTCCTTCTTCTTCTTCTTCGTTTCCGTTTTCCTGCCATTTGCTCTATGGCCCGCCCCTCCAATCCATCGTTTTTTTGCTCCGAGAGTGTCGTGCCTATGTGTTATTGTTTGCCATCACAGTGTCATCTTCTGATGACGTTATAAAAGACGTCTTCTTCTTCTTCTTGAATACTCTTTGCCTGATTGAACCGCCCCTTCTTCTTCTTTTTCTTCTTCTTTTTGGTCCGAAAGGACAGATGGTCCCTTTCTATCCTATCCATACCCAAGCCCTTCATCACTTTTCTCTTTTCTTTTTACTTCTTCTTCTTTTACACTTTCTCTATATCTGCTCAATTTGTTTTTGACACCTTTTGATATGTTTCCTTTCGGACATCATCTCTGGAAATTTGATTCCCACACTTCAATTGTACTCCTCACTAATTTTAAAGTGCACCAAAAATATCACATTTCTGTTGAATGAGATTTTTGGGAGGTCTAAAATGTTCTGAAAAATTGCATAAGGCTTTTCAAGTATTTTTCTTTGTATTTCAAGTAGGGCACAAGATTTTTTGTGTTTTTGAGTCTGAGAATAGATCCAGTTTTGTTTTGGAGAGCCAGAAATTTGGTAATTCTGGATTTCGAACTTGAAAATTATATTTTCTGCAATTTCACCATCTTTAAATAATTTATTCAATTTTAAATTCAAAAAAAAACTATTTGCTGAAAATGAAGCCTAGATTTAGCATATTCAGCTATTTTGAGTTTTTAAAGTTTTTTGTTCCGCAGGTTTTAATTTTTCATTGAATTTCTAGAAACTTGCTAAACGATAGAGTCTCATAGATTTGCGTTTTTTATGTTATCGTATTATTCTGGTACAAAAGAAATCGAAGCTGTGGAAAAGAACAGCCGGTGGCGTGGCCGAAGGTCCCACAACGACAACTACCGTAACCTAAAAATATTTCAACTTTTTTGTTAAGAAAGTTTGTAGGACACCCGGAGATTTTGAAGATTTGAGTTTCTGATCGATTGATTATAACTTTTCTAATTGAGATGTTCTCTCTTGGAGATTTGGAGTGTTTCAGATGCTGATTTAACATAAGATGATTCTGAACTTTATACTTATTTTGTCTCGTTTCCAATCGCCAAAACTTGGCCTTAATTTCACAAACATCTTCAAACCTTCAAGTTCTATATTCCAACCAACCAAGTCGTGTTTGCCCGGCTAGAAATAATGCCCATGTGTCCCTCGAATCCATTGTTCTTGTTATATGACCGGTTATTAAGTGTACAATTGTTATTTACCTATTTTTCTTTCGTAGTTCCTCTGGCTTTTTTAAAAAGGTTATTTTTCAATTTATGATTTCCAGCAAAACCCCAAAACTAGTCATGTAATGGAAGGACTGGCACGTGTATTCCTGATCGGTGGTCCCTCGAAAGCAGTTCGTTATGATGAGCAGACGACCATTGAAGTGAGTGTGTTTCCGTTTCGAAAGAATATCAAATTTCCAACAAGAAAATGACCTATTGGAAAAGTGCTATCATCTTATCACTTGAAACGTCCAATCAATCAATATTGGGGTTCCCTGTCTCTCCCTCCCTCGTTTCCTCCCCTTTTAACTAATAAAATAAAAATATAACGGATAGAAAAGAGCAAAAGACGGGAAAACGATTTTGATCAGTCTAATGGATTGGTGTGAGGCCACTTTCGAAGTGGGTTTTCCTGTTTTCTTTTCGAAAAAAACTGATGGATGGAGAGTGGAATCGTCAAAAAGTTGGAAGTCGTAAATTTCAAAGTGGAGAGGTTTAAGTCCATAAAATGGAGAGTGTGTGGGTAAAAAAGCTCAAAAGGCTCGGAACCGGATTTTGAAAATTTTCTTTAAAGAAGAATCTTATGGCCTAAAAAAAAAGTCCATTATAAAAAAAAAGTAAACACGGTTTCATTTCAGTTTGAATCTGTAGAAATCAAAAAACTTCGGAATATCAGTTTTACTAAATTCCGTCATTCTATAATATCGTAAATGCTCTAATAGAAGCCTAGAGCTCCATTATCTCTGTTCCTATAAAAGATATCAAAAAACTGTCAACTGATAAAATGTTTGTCATAATATCGGCAGCATTTTAGTAGTTGACAAATTTTTGATATCTTTGATATGAACTGAGATAATAGAACTCAAAAGTGCATGTGGGCTTCAATTAGATAATTTACTGTATCAGAATACCAGCGCCAGGAAGTCTTCAAAAACAAAAATACCCGAACCCAAGATCAGAATCGCACAATGGAAATTGTGGAAACTGGAGTTTGGAATTTCGAATCAAAACATCTTGGAACTTCCTTTCAGTTTTTTTATTCAAGAGTCTCGATGTTCTAGGAAGAACCCACAGTGTCTAGGATTGAATTTCGGTTTTTGAATCTGCCAGAAAAAAAAACACATCCACATATCTAGGTAGCACTTGAAACGAAAATTAGATTTCTGGTCTCCCCCCAGACCACCGGAAAAAAGCTCCCAACTCGCCGCCAATAAAATTTATGTTGGTTTTGAATGTGTTTATTTATTTCTTCTTCTTCTCCCCAATGTCCTTCCATTTTTTTTGCAATAACAACACGCTTGAAAAAGTAGAGAGCTTCGGCCGGAAAATGCATATTCTCCATTTGATTCCTCCGTTTGGAGAAAAGTCTTTCAGAAGAAGCAATTATTTATTTATTTATTGTGCTCTCATATCAAAAAAAAAAGAGAAAAAGAGCTGCTGACACCAACCAATGCTCCGGTGTGGTTTTGATTGATCACCTGCTCTTTTTTTTCAAAGAATCGAAATAAATAGTTGGCATTTCAGTGGAAGAGAAAACAAACAAAAAGAATTTTCAGTAGAGAATGAGGAGGGAAAAATTAAGTCAAATGGGAAATTTGTGGAAAATGATGAGCAATACTAAAAAGTCAAATTTTGAACGAAAATATGTCAAAAATATTGAAGAATGAAATACAGGACTAACTAAAAGTATTGTTTTCACTTGCTTAAAACCAAAAAGTAATAATTCAACGACAATTTCCAAAAAATCTGCAACAAGAAAAAGCGCCAATGATGCGCCAGACATCAACTTAGACAACCATAAACACTCGAATGGAATAACCCCTAACCGTTAATTTTGAGGCAATTTTTCTCGGTTCTTGTAAAAGATATGAAAAATCTGTCAACTAATAAAATATTTTTTATACTCTAATGAACATTTTGACAGTTGACCACTTTTTGATATCTTTCACAGGAAATGAGATAAATAGGCTCAAAGTTGATAGTTTGGGCGGGAGCGTTCTTTGAGTGTGTTTACAGTAATACTGATTGGATTCCGAAAACAGCGAATGTTATATTATTCAATGTTTGGAAACTTTAGCATCTGAAACTGTGGACTTTGAGTGATTTTTGAAAATATGCCAAAGCCTTTTTCCACCTTTCAACCGAATGTTTAAATTCAACCAAATGCATTCTGGCACTTGGTTGCTTTCAACCGGTATATTCTGATGTTTTTTTTCAAAAAAGTTTTCGACTACAAAATGAACGTTCTAATTTGTTTAGTAGACCTTAAAAAACTGGACCAAGTTCCAACAGTATTCCCATTCCGAAAAACTCCACGAACGACATTTTTTCTGTGTCACACACCAACCAAAAACTCATAAATCGTCAAACAAGTGTCTTCTCTCTCCCGTTTGTCCCCTTTTTTCTCAGGGAGTGTTACAGTCATAAATCATTGTTGCAGCGTGTTATCCATGTCGTCGCGCGAGGAATCGGCATCTCAAAAGTGGCTGTTGCTCATTTTGCTCTTCGACTCGTCACTGGTCCATCTCCACAAACAGCGGGTTTGTATAATTTGAACAACGAGGGAACACTCGATAGAGAGTTATATTATTAGGTTCCGGAGATTCACTTTGGCTTCATCCATTGCTTCGAATTGCACAATTACCACATATCTATGCGAAACATCTACCAATCGGAGTTTGTGATGAAATCAAGTAAGGTTTGGATCAAACTGTTAGATCGTAAGCACATCCAGTTCAAATTAAACTGTACAAAATCTATCTATAAATGTGCATCCCAATTTTCAGACTAGAAATGCGAATGAGACTAATGCCACAATCCGTATACGAACTCCAAGTCACCGACAGTTCCGCGTTCGTCTATCTCCACGAACAAGTCGTCGACGAATTTTTCAGCCACGTGGCGTGGAGGTCTTCTGTGGAAGTGGCTCTGGAAGTAGCGGCTCTTAAGATTTGTAGAGACTTTGCGGACCATAAGTGAGTTTCCTCTTTTGGAACAAACTTTAAAATTAATATTTTTCAGCAAAGGCGCAGATCACCATATGGAAGAAGTGGATATCGATGCATGTATACAGTCTCTGATTCCGAATGTTCTTCATAATCCGAACCTGAAACATAGTCATTTGAAGAAACAGTTCATGGCATATATGAAGAAGTTCTCGGCAACTCCGCCGAATGAATCTATCATCAGAAGCCTTGCTCTTCTTCTAGACGTCGTCAAGTTTGATGTGGAAGTTTTCAAAGCAAGTCTAGGTGCTGGATGGACGAATCCGGTGGAGTTGGTGGTGGGACCACATGCTGGATTGTCGTATCGGCTGAATGAAAGATGTGATGTTAGTTTTTTAATTTAAAAAATTGAATTAAATTATTGGTATCTTCAGACCTCCCGCCTTTTGGAACTTCGAACCATTGCTGACATTACAATCCGAAAAATGGAGCACGGATCAGAAAAGACACTGTTGCAACTGAAACTATCCGGCGCTGCAAAACCAGTGATGATAACTCTCTCCACAGAAGAATTGGCACAATCCCTGGCACATCTTTTGGATGGATATCAAATGCTGTACAACCAAGGAGATAGTGTATTCAAATTAAAAGGAATCGAGAGATGTGAAACCATGACGATGCATGAGGCAACGATTCGACCGAAGACTCCGAATAATATTGACAATAATATCAGGTTACGAAGAGAACTGATCACTTTGAAAGAACTTATTGGAGGAGGGCAGTTCGGAAATGTATATAAAGCAATTTATCATGACTTGGAGAAGGATGATAGGATAGCTGTGGCTGTGAAAGTTTGCAAGAGTGATGCAGAACCATCAGATACCCAGTTGATTCTCCAGGAATCAAGTCTGATGCGAAACTTCCGTCACGCTCATATCATCCAGCTTATCGGAGTGTGTGTTGATCAACCAATGTGGTTAGTTTTGGAATTGGCACCTCATGGAGAGTTAAGAGAATATCTTCAACAAGAGAAGGATTGGCTTCCCCTTCGAACTCTAACTCTGTTCTCATCTCAAATCTGTGATTCACTGGTTTACCTTCATTCCACTCGATTCGTTCACAGAGATATTGCTGCTAGAAACATCCTCGTTTGTTCTCCTCAATGTGTCAAACTAGCAGATTTCGGACTTTCCCGAGCACTAGACTATGATGCAGTTTACACAGCTTCACGTGGAAAACTTCCTATCAAATGGTTGGCTCCAGAATCGGTCAACTATCGACAGTTCAGTATGGCTTCTGATGTATGGATGTTTGGAGTTTGTATGTGGGAAATCTATTCATTAGGTATCAAACCATGGGCTGGTGTCACGAATAGTGACGTCATCATGCATATTGAACAAGGATCAAGACCTCCATGTCCTGAGAAATGTCCAGCGGCACTTTATAATTTTATAAGGAACAAAATGTGGGCGATTGAGCCTCATAAACGGCCGACAGTGGATCAGATTCATGCGGTAAGAGAATGATCAAGTACTTGAGATTATCCTTTATTGTACAGATCATCGAAGACGTCAGACATCAAGTTCTTCGAAATGTTCCACCTGATCAAATTATAGTTGGTAAACCTTTAAGCGTAAGTTGAGAAAGTTGTTCCAGATCGAAAATCTCTCTTTTTTCAGCCTGCCGGAGTCATAGTTGCCGAAATGTCTAGTCTTCCATCTCTAACCGTCTACCGTACTATGGAAGAACAGAAGCGACAAGCAGAAGAAGATGCGAAATGGTTGGAAGAGGAAGACGGTGACATTGATGATGAGTTGGAACCAGATCAGATTCCATCCACGTCACACTCGTCGGTGGAGAACATCCGAACGTCCAATGGATACCTACATCACACTCCAACGTCAACCAGGTCACTGCGGTTTGAGGTAAGGAGTCCTTTTCTCAGTTTTCAATGGTAATTTTTCCCCATTTTCTAGGACAAAACCTCACGGGAACTGCGACGGAGTGTGGACGGCGTTTGCGACGCTGTGACAAAACTCCAAAACTCATTCAACAATCTGACACATAACGAGGACTTTCTGCATTCTGTCAAAGAGGTGACGTCACAACTCAGAGAGATGTTGATAGTGGCATCAGGAATGAGGGATCGGGTAACGACGGCGACGCAGAGAACAGAAGTGGATATGACGAAGACGTTGATTGCGAATGATATGAAACAAATGAGTCGGGTGATGGCAAAGTTACAAGTTAATGGAGAGCAGACGGTGAGTTTTTTTTTGAAATCAGGTCTGTAATAGGCCTGCTCAATTATATCGGTTCCAGTAAGAGCTATCCAAATTGGTCATAACATAACCAACATTTTCATAGTTGGCAAACATGTTATCTTTTACAGAAACCGAGATAATTGATCTCAAAATTGATGATTTGGATGGGCTTCTATTACAGGGTGGCTATTAATTATTAACACCAAACTTGCGAGCTAGATATGTTACATAGAAGACGCACTAATATGTGTTCTTTTATAATTTTCTTACTCCTCTACTCATTGTGCATTTCCCTGCCAAATTTCATCACACAATATTACGTCTGAACTGAATGGTGGCTCTTTTTCCAACCCTTGTTTCGGTCAACAACGACACAATTGAAAATGACCTCATGATTGATCTTACAAAAGCAATCCGCGTGGACCGCATGTTGGTCGAAAGTACTGCCCATAAATGTTTTCTTAATCACACTGATGTGGGCTATCTAATAACTGATTTTGAGGTATTTGTGACATCAGATACCATCGTTATAGTCGTGCAAAAAGGATTTGCTGAAATTCAGACGAGAGTCACAGAAAGCTCGCTGCTGACTTCAAAATGGCCCGAAGCTTGATAAAAATTATCTTCAAAAAAGAACAACTTCTGGTCTTTTTAAAAATAGCAAATGAGTTCTCTGGGAAGGGGACACTAGAGATTTGTGTCTCAAAAAGCCTGGAACTTTCTAAGCGGCACGCGCCTAACCACTCACACAAGGACACTTCTTTCGGGTGATAATTTTTACAGTCGATGGCAACATGGTCTCTTGAAATTGCAGAATTCTATTCAAAAATATGTAGTCTGTATGCCAGTAATGAAAAATTGCAAATAGAATTTCGCTTGCCGCCACGGTTCTGATCTTTGATGGAATCACTGGAAATTGCGAAAAATCCCTTGTTTTCCTTAATTTTCGATCCAAAATCATCTATGGAACAAATTTAAGTTATCAAAATTTTGCATTAATCTGAATCCTACTTGAAAAGTTAATATAGAGCGTTTCGACAAGATTGAGCCACGGTTTTCAGTGCCAAAGACACCCCAGGGTGGTTCAAACTCAATTTTCCGTAGCTGAACTAAGCACAAGAATGGATCGATTTCTTCCCAGGCTTGAAACTAAAAAATTATTCAGTTTTAGGGTATTGAACCCATATAGTGTCTTCATGAAAATACAAAATATCACACTTCTGATGACCCCCCTTCAGAAGATATGGGCACAAAAAGGTAGAAAATACCTCCGTGCCGTGGTTGCCTCCTTTCCGAAGCTTCTGAAGGCTGTCGTCTAAGTGAAATAAAGTGTATTTGAAAACATTTGCATTATTATAAATTTTGTGCGTCTGAAATCCAAAATTTGGAGAATTTTCATCGAGTTTTAGGAGAGTAATGAAGGCTTGGATCGGTGTCAATAATTAATAGCCACCCTGTAGAGCAAATACGATAGTCTTAACTTTTCACATCTTTCTATAAACGATAATGGTTTTTGCCTCAACATGAACAAACAAAAATGATTTCTGAACTCTTCATTTATTCAAAAAAAAATTCCACAAGTTTTTTTTTCAGATCTTCAACACTCTTCGTCGAGACGTCGTTCGGATTTGTGGAGAACTAGCCGTGAATTGCACAACTCTCCAACTGCAACTAACTCAACCACCACTGGAAAACGAGTTCTCCGCATTACTTTCAAATTGTTAGATCTATCAATTTTTCAAATTTCGGATAGTTTCAGCTGAATTGATAATGCACTTTTTATATCATAGCGGGTACAAAAATGCTTCCTCTCTTTTGTTCTGTTTTCAAAAAATGTCTTCCGAGACGATCTCTGTTCAACAAATAATAATCATAATAAACAGTATTGCATTTTAATTGTTCTCAAATCTATTTCCTGTTAATTAGATAATGACAAACATTCAAATTTCAAATTAAAAAATCACAAATAAAATTAAACCTGCAAGAACTAACATTCAGATGATATAAAAGGAAATTACAGTAATCCATAATTAAGAGTTCAAAGTAATCTCAATCTTCTAAATACATATATGTAGAATATTTGTCACGACAGTTGGTTCCATAACTTCTTTTCACTGTTAGGAAGCTATTCGTACACTATTTGCTGATATTTCATTTTCTTTTGAAATCCGATTTCGGTCTATTGTGAACGGGGGACGTTCAGTGGAAATAATCCACCTAGCCATGAACCCCAAACATGGCGAGTATAGTGTCTCAACTTCGTCCACTAGGACACCAATCAGAAGACAAATAAAAAGAAACAACAAGAAGCGCACACAAAACTTCCTAGCAGTGAAAAAGCATCGTCTTCCAGTCATCCTCTCGTATTCCTTGAATTTCCTTGCTGATGAGGTCGGTAAGCATCGTTGAGCTTCGCAGTAGAGAAGTTTGGTTGAACGTTGTCTTCGTAGAATGATTGGAAGATCCCAGGTGCCCTGAACAACGTTAGAACTCTGATTTCTCGTTGATTTCTCCAGCTTAGCCCCCGGTTGATAAGAGTTCACACTTGGGTCCAAGGCAACGGGTCAGAAATCGCGCCATAATAAACGTGAGATTTTAGAAACACGGTGAGTTTTTCACTACCGAAATGCGAAACAGTCTGCGACGGTTTAAAGTACAATGGACAAAAAAAAATCTGATTCATTTTTTTACTATATATCTTCATGAAATTTACAAAAAATTTATGGAACGAAAAAAAATCCTTGGGCTAGAATTCGAGAAAATAAAAATCCAAAGTTGAAAGCAGTGCGCTGTAGCAGCGGTAGTGAAAAATTCACCGTGTAGAAATAATTTGATGCTGAATTATTTGGCTGAGAATCAAACTTTTTAACGTTGGGCGAAAAAAATCACGGTTTACAACTTTGTTGATTAAAAATAAATAGGTGAAATTCACGCCAACTTTGAAATTATTGAATTTCTTCTGACCTAAAAGTTATTTGGGCGTGTTTTTTGACACGCTGCTTTAGACCCAAATGAGTTCATGAACGTAGACGGGAATTTTTTAAGCTTCTTTTTTAACTGGTTTACTTTGGAGTACTGTAGTTTTTAATTGTCTTCTAAAATCAAGGTCGGTGTGGTCTTGGAAACATGTAATAAACAAAGATCAGATTCTTAAACCGAGTAACAGAAAAAATATTTAGAAACCCAAATAGTAAATTGAAGCCAAAAAATGTCGTTCTTAGTTATGACATCTAGTACATAACATAATACTGTCGCATTTCCTCTTTCGTAAACTTTCCGACAATCTTCCCATTTTTTCCCGATTTATTCCATGTGTAAACAGACGACGGATGATCTTTCCTCCATTCTGGACCGTATTCGTGCTGTAATTTTCACAGAAAATGTTGAATTGATAAATTATTCGAATGATTTCATACGAATAATTTCTCTTCCGGTGAACAGCTAACCCAGAAAATATGATTGTGAAGTTCGGCTGCACACCATGGATCATAAATGGGAATCGAGAATTTATATTTTGTACCATCGCCTGTTAAAACATGAATATTTGAAATAATAATATTCAAAGCAAACCGGCAACACCACTGACGTAGTGATATGTCAAGTTCCCGTCCTCTATACCATCATACATTATAAATATATCAATAGTTGGTGTTCTCTCGATTTTTGGAATAAATGTCAATTCAAGGGAGTCTTCTTCCTAAAATTTTCTATAAATTATTTTTTAATCATTCGTAAATCACCTTTCCCAAGCTCCGCCACAATTTGAAGTACTTACTTTCATTGTTCAGAACCTTCTTTTTGTAGATTGGATTGTAATTGTCTTTGAAAACAGAAACATCTAGATCCGTTGTATGTGGAATTATTGTGCATTCTCTGTACCATCCTAGAAGGGTTCCATCTGTCAAAAACATGAACATTCCGTTATCTAGAAGTTCGTCGCGGAGCCGGGAAATCAAAGTCGAAGCGGTGGAAGCGTTTAAAACTGGCTTCTGGAATTCCGTTCTGTTCATTTCCACATTAGCGCAATTCAAAAGTTTCGAACGTTTCCAAAAATGGTAAAACAATTGAGGATCTTTCGGAATCGCAATATTACCAGACAAGCTAGCTTCAAATCTTCTGGAATTTTTTTTTCTTGGAATCAATCAATTTTTTTTACCTAGGAATAATTCTTCCACCATCGATGTCAAACTTCAAAAAATCCTTTTCAGAGTCGTCAGTATAGTAGATGACGTCAAAATGATTTTTATCAAGAGAATATTCTAGATTTTTGTAACTTTTATTGACTCCAATCTGAAAAAATAGACATCAATGGAATCGGAAAATATAGAAATGAACTTTACCTGAATACGTTTGTTCTTATCCCACTGACAAATTTCATAATTTAATTGTTTCAGAAATTCAAGATCAATCAATAACACATGAATATTAGGGTTCCAAGCCTCAAGAAGATAACCACATTCGGTGTAATTTGTCTGAATAAAAGTCTGAATTTAAAAAGTCAAACTACGCACTCCACATGACTATTGTCAACTTTGATTTTGCTGATGAAAATTTTGAAATCTATCACCTATTTTCAACAATTTCAGAAACCCAGAAATTGGCCTGTCCGAATTTCAGAATTTCAGAACTTCATAGTTTGAAATTGTCCGAAGTTCAGAATTCCAGAGTTTTATAATTTAGATTTTCTAAACTTCATAAAACTGACTATGAGAACAATTACTTTGATGATTAGACTGTGTTTTTTGAGTTTTAGAAATGTTTTAAAAATTCGGGTCTTTATCGAGTTTTCACCAAGAAATCAATGGTAACAATAATTATGTGGAGGGATGTAGAATCTTTCAAAACATACATATTTTTTAATAGAGAATCGGGTCGAAAACTCAGATCGGTAATAAATTAGGATATTAAAAAGAATAGTGGTAGAAAAAATAGTGAGCAAAATCAGGCATTTCATTTTTAACAAATATCAGGGAATGAACCAAAACGAAAGATTTTTGGAAAATTTTTTCCACGTGTCAATATGTGGCTTTTCACGAAAATAGTAATATGGGTCACGTAAGAATTGTTGGTTCTGGTAATTCTTCGGGTGACAAAAAGGGGGTGTTGTGCGTGTGGGGAAAAAGTTTTTGTTGTGTAAAAAAGATGTTGACTCATGTCCCGTAAAACATACAAACATTTTGTAAAGTATAAAAATGCAAAAAAAGATATTATGAAAAACATTTTATCAGTTAGTGAATTTCAGAAATCTATTATAGGAACCGATGTAATTGAACTGAAAATTAGATCCTTGAATAAGAGCATTTATAATGTCTGACCCAAAAACGCAAAAAGTTTGGAACGCTTCACGAATTTGCGTGTCATCCTTGCGCAGGGGCCATGCTAATCTTCTCTGTATTGTTCCAAAGAACTTTCACCTCAAGCACCGACATCTCACGACTTACGCCATCCACTATACCTTGTACAGGGGATGGACGTGCTCCTGGGAAGATTGGTTTTTGCTGTATAATAAATATGAATTCTGAATAGGTATATTGTATTCGTTGTTTGGAAACAAAAAATCGACAGTCCATTAACTTCTGTGCTGTAAAAATACCGCTTATCGTGAAACCTGCATTAAGAGAGTTAGATGGCACAATAAGGTATTCAATCCGGAAACAAAGGAGGCCACATTTGGAAGTGTTCCTCAACAAGATGTTTCTTCTGGAAACTGTATCAATGATGTAAAATTACAAAAACTTGGTTTTTGCAAGAATTTATCAAACTTAGATAAGTAAAATTGCCGACAAAAAATCGGACTTCAATGAGATACATTCCCTGCAAAAGATATCAAAAACTGGTCAATTGGCAAAATTTTTGCCAAGATACCAAAAATATTCTGTTAGTTGATCACTTTTTGATATCTTTGACATAAATTGAGTTACAGTAGCTCAAATTTGGAGTGGCGTTCTTCTAGAGAGAACTGATAGTGGATAGAACTGTGATATTTTTATTAATGAATTATTGAAATATCCATTATTCCTCATTAAAAAAAACAAATCATCTGACCAACTTGGTCACTATTGTTCTCATTGTCCTCTGTTAAAATCTAGTGAAAATTAACAAAATAGGTGTCCATTCGCACAATGAAAAAGAGCCTGTTCAAATAGATCTTTCAAACGAAGAGATCAATTAGGCATTGTGTTTAACAATTTTCTTGCAGACATTATTTGAATAGCTTACAGACTGATCGCCACTAGGAGTGATAAGGCAGTTGGTGAAACGCAGAGAAAACAGGAAGTTGGTATAAAAGGAGGTGACAATCCGAGAAGGATCATCAAGTCTTTCTACAATTTGGTACAATGCTCAAGTCGGTTTTCCTAATTGGTTCTCTTGTGGCAATCGCCTTTGGACAGTCGTGTGATCCAACGAAAGTTACAGCTCGTAAGATTTTTTCTGGTTTTCGAGAGAATTGAAACTCAACAAAGCCTACCCGACTGTGAGCTCAATTATCTCGATCCCTATAAAAGGTATCAAAATTTTTATATTGATTAATTATTTATCATTGTATCACCAACACTTTATCAGCTGACAACTTTTTGTTATCTTTCACAGGAACCGAGATAATTAAAGTTGAAGATTAGGGTCAGCTTTTATTAGAGGAAAACGATAGATTTTTAGTTGAAAAAAACTTGTAACTTTAACGGTTATCTTAACTGAAATTTTAGGTTCACAACAGGGTATTTTAAATTAAAGCTCTAATAATCTTACATCAACTTTTGCACATTTCAGCATGCGACGCTTCCCTCCCATGTGCCACGGGATCTACCTGTGATCTTACACTTGGAAGTTGTTGTTTGAATGCTGATGTTGGTAAGTGTCTTACACTTAACTACGATTATTAATCCAACCAATTTTTCAGTCACCACAACCGTCCCAACCATCGACGTCACCGCCACCGGCACATTATCCACTACTAGAATCACCGGAGGAGTCACTGTCACCTCAAGAACTGTCACCTCAAGCACCGGATGCATCGATCGGGTCAATCCAGCCACAGGAACATCTGACTGTGCCTCCCGTAGGGCTCTTTGCAACGACTCAAACTATTACGATGTGATGACTCAACAATGTCCAAAAACCTGCGGAAGATGCTCATCCTTCTCGACAACTCGTTCCACTGGAACATGTGTCGATTTGACGAATCCAAAGACAGGAACTTCTGATTGCGCTAGCATGACAGCCTACTGTAACGACTCCAACTACATTGCTCTGATGAGAGTTCAGTGTCCAAGAACTTGCGGATTCTGTGGAAGTTCGTCATCATCATCATCGACGATCAGATCTTCAAGCTCTACTGTTGCAACAGGAAGTAGGATTTTATGATGTTATATTTTTAGGCTTTCCATCCTGTCCGAGAACACCCGTCGAATCAAAAGCCACCCGTCACCCGTCCTTTTTGTCCAGTTCGCAATATTGCGGCACAGCAATTTTCCGCAAAACGCACTTTTTTGACGCGTACAAAACTCAATCTAGTTGTTCATTCCAAGCGACCGGGCGACAAGCAGGCGACGAGCGGACGGCGTGTGGGCGCTACACCCGGGAAGACGCGGCTGGTGAAATACGCACGAAATAGAAATATTAATAGAAAATAAAATACATAAATGATCATCACTCAAAAAACCATATAATTTACAGCATGTGTCGACAGAGTCAACCCATCCACCGGCCGTTCCGATTGCGCTTCCAACATCGCACTCTGCAACAACTCTGCTTATCAAACCGTCATGCGTTCGCAGTGTCCAAGAACTTGTGGATTCTGCTAATTGTTCCACGATTAGTAATAATTGTTCTACATCTCTTCTCCTTATTCCCCATTAATTTTTAATTTATATACAAAATAAATTTTGTGTGTTCGCCGAGAAATGTGTTCAAATATACGACAATGGCTCTCGTTCGAGAATGGTTGTACCAACATAAAAACAATAACGTATTGTGTCGAAAAATCTGTGTGGGGAGGATATTTTTGAAACAAAAACTAGAATATTTGAGCAGCCGTCGTTCTTTTTTGTCTTCGGGAAAAAGGAAATAGTGCGCAAGAGCGAGAGAGTGTTAGAGACACATAATTTCAGATTTCTGACAATTTCCGACTGGAATCGTTCGATTATTAGACAAAATAACTAGAAGAGTCAATAATCGAATCGTCACGTGGCATTTTTTGATGTTAATACAATGTAAATGCGCTCCAACGCAAATTCTTCAGAATGACGTTGGTCTCGACGCAATATCTTCAAATTGCACCGCTGAGTCTTACGGTTTTGTCCCTGTATTCCATCGGGAAAACGCGGAAAAATCTCCGTATGTCATTAAGAAGAAATGTATTTCGTATGAGCTTCAAAAAAAAGGGGCGTGGTCTAAACAACGGACCTGAGAGACTTCAGCAATTGTTTCTAAACAGTCTACATCCTATTGTTACAAGTACAATGATCAGTTTTTGTTGAAAACGTAGAGAGTGGTGTTGCAAAAACGAAGTATTTGCACAGGCTCTCCCTTGTTGGGGATCTCTTCCAGTATAAAAGCAGTAGATACTGAAGTCATTTCACCAACCAATTCGGTGTTTTCTCCTTTTTCAACAATGTTCCTCCGCCAACTCTTCATTTCATTCGCCATTTTCTCGGTTGCCTACTCACAAACTTGTGATGCTACGGCTTCTTCTGGACGTGAGTCAAATTTAAGATTTTGAAAAAAACTTTAACATTGTATACATTGCAGCGTGCGGTGATATCTTCGGTACTGCCTGCTCCAATAATCAAGTATGTGATGAAGTTGCTGCCCAGTGCTGTCCTGTTACAAGTGAGTTTCTTCTTTCAAAAATTTAACTAAACATTTCGATATTCTAGCTGCCGCTGCCACTACCACCGCCGCTGCTGTCACCACCATCGTCACCGATTCTGATGGATCTACAGTAACTGCCACCGTGACCACCGCTGCCACTGGCACCGTCACATCCTCCACCACTACCTGCGTCGATCGTACCAATCCATCTACCGGTGTCTCCGATTGTCCAGCTCTTGCTTACCTTTGCAACGACTCCACCTACTACACAGTCATGACTCAACAGTGTCCAAGAACCTGCGGACGTTGTAACACCACCTCCACCTCTTCCACCAGCTGCGTTGATCGTGTCAACCCATCCACCGGAGTCTCCGATTGTCCAGCTCGTGCTGCTCTCTGCAACGATTCGACCTACTACGCCGTGATGACCCAACAATGCCCAAGAACTTGCGGAAGATGCAACTCCACCTCCTCCACCACCACCTCGACATCCAGTAAGTTTGACGGGGATATCCATATTTTGAAACTTTATGCAGCATTCGAAATCTTATCTAGCCTTTGATCTTAAGTGATCCAATTCCTCTCTTCGATCCTAATCACCCCCATTCCAGGCACAACTTGTGCCGATCGTTCTAATCCATCCACCGGAAGATCTGATTGCCCGGCTCGTGCTGCTCTTTGCAATAACGCAGTATATTACAATATCATGACTGTGCAGTGCCCAGTCACTTGTGGTAGATGTAATACCACTTCTAGCGCCACTTCAACCAGTAGGTGGCAGCCTTTGCTTCTGCCTAGCTCTCTGTTCATTGTTTCTTTTTCTGCTTGCTTCGCTTCTTTAGCCCAATCCAAATCATTCTATCATATTTTTAGCTTCCTGCGCTGACCGTGTCAACCCATCCACAGGTGTCTCCGATTGTCCAGCTCGCGCTGCTCTCTGCAACAACTCTGTCTACTACGATCTGATGACTGTTCAATGCCCAGCCACTTGTGGAAGATGCAGCTCCAGCAGCTCGACTGTCACTTCCTCCTCCTCCACTACTGTCTCATGTAATATTCTGAATATCTGGCGTCTTCTGATCTTCTGAATATTTCAGCCACTTGTGTCGACCAAGTCAACGCTGCCACCGGAACTTCCGACTGTCCAAACCGTCGTGCTTTCTGCACAAATTCCGCCTACATCTCCCTCATGCGCACTCAGTGCCCACTCACCTGCGGATTCTGCACATCTGGATAATTTTCTCCCCTGTTGCTTTTCGCTATTGTATCTTCTCTTAACTTATTATCTTACTAATTTATTTGTCTTTCGTGATTGTATTGTGAACATGCAGATTTTCTCCTATAAAATATTGGACACATTTTTCCTTCTGCATTATGAACAAAAAAGAAACGTCACCTAAAAATTGAAAAGTTGGACATTCAAAAAGTTTTTCCAAGGTGGTGAGAAACACTAAACACATTACACCATTACGTCTGAATGCATACTGCACTTCAAAAACAACATTCCGAAAAATCTCTTGTCTTCCCTCTCTAAACTGGACAACAAAAAAAGATTTTTATTAACAGAAAAAGTTTTGATTCTAAACAAAAAAAAACCCATTAAAATTCAAGATAATACTTCTTCATCTCCTCTTTGGTCAGTTTTCCATTTTCTCTGATATTTTTAGGAGAAGAATTCCATGCGAATTGTGACGTTGGGTGGTCCAAATACCACTGTGGACCGTATTCGTGCTGAAATAATTTATTCAGTGAATTAACGAATTTATGTATCATATACATACGATAATTTGAGGTTTCGGAGAGCACGACACCCAGAATAAGTGATTGTGCAGTTCAGCAGCACACCAGGGGTCATATATTGGATAAGTGAATTTGTATTTTGTGCCATCACCTGAAATAATTTTTAATATTGATTTTTAAATAAATTTTATAGCTATACCCCCAAGTCCAGGAGTATAATGATGAGTCAGCACACCATTCTCAATACCATCGTACATCACAAATATATCAATGCGAGGGTTAGCTTTAAGTTTTGGAACAACTGTGAGTTCTAGACCATCTTCTAACTGCAAATTTCCAAGATCTCAGTATCCGAATATTATTCCATAAACTAACTTTTCCCAACATTCTAACCAGCTTAAATTCAGAAGAACCATTCAGAAGTTTATAAGGGTATTCTGGTTTGTAATTGTATTTGAAAACGGCGAAATCAGCATCATAAGTGTGTGGAATAATGGTGCATTCTCTATACCATCCCAAAAATGTTCCACCATTCAGAAAAGGAAACATTCCGTTATCCAACAAGTCATCACGGAGCCGAGCCAAAATGTCTGCAGTTTCAGGTCCTTTCAAAAAGACACTCTGAAAATCAGAAATTCTATATTTTTTAACCCAGAACACCTACATCGGATTCACTTCTCTTCATATCCAATCCAACACAATCTCTAAAACTGGAACGTTTCCAAAACTCTGCGAATCTCTGGGTATCCTCCGGAATTTCAATATTTCCAATCCATCGAGTTTTGAATTTTCTAAACAACTTTTTTCAATATAGTTTGAAGTAGATGAATCCTCAAATACCTTGGAATCAATCTTCTGCCTGCATTCATTTCAAAATCCAAAAAATCCTTACTAGCATTGTTATAATAATAGAAAACTTCAAACCCTAGATCTTCGAGATTATGGGGATTGAGTTTATGCTTCATGTCGACTCCGACCTAATATTAAAAATTATAAAAATTTGGAAATGGTTTCTCACTTTTATTGGTTTTCTCTCATTCCATAGGCAAGTCGTTCCATTGGCTTCAGTCAATTTTTGCAGAAAATCAACGTCGATTAACAAAATTTCAGTTTCAGGACTTCGTTCGTCAAGAAGATGTTGACATCGAGTGAAGAAACTCTAAAATAGGATACTGACCCATAAATTGTGGATTCCAAAAAATTCTTACAAATCTTGATTTCCATTTTGTAGCATCATCGAAACTAAACAGAAGTACCGCGCAGAAAAAAAGAGTGCCAGAAATCGCAAGATTGCGGTACAGGTTTTTCATCCTGTAAAAAATTAAATTAAGTTCTATATTTAGGCGCCGCAATGAAAGGGGGCGGGGCGACCAAATTTTTCTCCCCTCGGCACAATCCCATTTTTGAAGGCTTGTACCGGGCGTTAGAAACTCATTTTTTTAAAAGTTAGAATTTGTACCTATGTAATCGACTGCGATAAATCGAATGGAATTATCAGTTTTTCGATAATTTCATTATTTTGATTCGAAAACTTTGAAAAACATTAATCACACTGACAAAGTGGACTAAAAGTATTGGATGGAAGTTAGTGCCACCAAATTTTTTGATGGATTCTGATAGTTCATGAAATGGGGGATTGGATTTCAAAGTAAAATCAAATTTCTACTGTGGCGGCTGTAGCGCAATTCCGAACCAAAGTTCCAGACAAAATACATAAAAAGTTTTAGCGATGACCCCAAATTTTTTTCTTATATTACGGTAAAACTTAGCCTTGTGTACACTTGTGACAAGTTTCAGAAAGGTTGGTTATCTTAAAGTAGTTTTAATACTCATCCGAAAATTCCAAACTTTCAAAATTTTAGGTTTTTTAAAAAATTTTGAGGGTGACACAGGTGAGTGTCTCCGATTTTCTTTGCACCATAAGATGAAGCACAAAATTTGCCACCAAATACAGTTTTAAATAGAAAATCCTACTGTGGCGGTCATATGTAAAACATCTGTTTTCTTTTGAAAATTTTGTTTTGGTGCCTATCTATATTGTTATACGTGAAGCTTGATTTTTTTTCGACAACTTCTGAAAAGTTGCACGACATAAAATAAATCGCAAAGTTACTGTTACTTGGACTAATAAAAACGAGTATATCTTTAGACATAAGTATCTTGGAAGCCCGAAAATACATTGTTATGAGATAAACTGCGTAATTTTTCTAGCGCGCAGTTGTAGTTTTCATGAGAGGAAGCAACTTTGACAAACGATAATTCAGATGAAAGTTGTTCAAAAAATTGAAAGTTTGGCCAGTTTACTGATGAATTATTTAAATTTTCCCGCTCCAAATTAGAGCTTAGTACAACTTTTAACTCAAATTTTATGCTAGTACCAACTTGAGTCCGGCTGATTATGTGCCACTTTCAATAAATAAGGTGTACCTTATAGGGACTTTTCATCCACATTACTCCCCTTTTTAGCCACAAAACCAGGTATTAAACTAGTGTGGGGGCCCAGGTTTTACGGTATTCGCTATAGAGACTCACTTTTTTTTTCAGCCAAATAATCAGGTATAAAACTATCTCATGAACTTTTCAACAGTGCCACGAGTCACTTTCATCGTCAAGTTAACCTCAAAAAATTTACTATGTAAATTAATTAACTACGTCAAAGTAATTTCAGTTCAGCATTTCTTTTCAATCTGCTGTCCATTGACACAATTAAAAAAAAAGTTTTCTGACTACTGTTCTTTTGAAAAATTAAATTACAATGTTTTTCATCTTCAGTAATTTTAGCTCTTTGACATTTTTTCCAGTTTGACTTCATGAGAATTAACGGGACATGAAACATCAATTTTCCCAAATTTCATTCTTTTGCGCTCCTCGAGGAGTTGAACGTTTGGGTCCGGCATTGTATATGCGGCGCTGCTACCGACTGACTAGGTGAGGGCGAAGCTAGAGGAGCCACCTGTACATAAAAGCGGTACGATAGCTGTACGCTGAGGGAGAAATAAACACGGTACACCGCTACATTGTCCACTGTCTTTTTCCAAAATCGATGTTCCCATAGTTGACAGTCAAAAGAATTCATAAAGTTACCGTAAAACCTTAAATAGAAGACCCCCCCCCCCCCATTGAACCAATTTTTCTCTTTTCCTGTGAGATACCAAAAAGCGGTCAACTAACAAAATGCTTTTAGTAATACCACCAATATTTCACCAGTTGACGAACTTTTGATATCTTTCATAGGAACCGAGATAATTAAGCTCAAAGATGACGGTGTGGGTGAGCTTCTACTAGAGAAATACGGTAGACTCAAAAAGGGAGCCTAAGAACTAGAATTACGTTTTTAAATCTGTCATCAAATAACCTTACTTACGTTTTAGGTCGGTTTCTTGCTTAACCGAAGTTGACAAAATCAGGTCGAAAACTGTCTCATAAACTTTCCAACAGTGCCACGAGTTACTTTCATCATCAAATTTACTAGGTCAAACAAAACATAAAAAGTACGTGAACATATTTGAGTTCAACATTCAATTTCAATCCGTTTTTTTTCCATAGACCGAACTATGAAATAGGTTTACTTTTAACAAGTCTTTGAATTTAAATAAAAACATTTTTTAGAAGTACAATTTTTTCCTCTCCCTGATTTTTTTCCCAACACAGGTCCTGGGCGATGATGCGCATAAAGGACCCGATCCATATGCGATCCTCTAGAAGTCCGTTTGACACATATCGCGAACAACGAGCTGCGATGAGTCTCATATGTGTGCGATGCGGGAGAGGCTGAATCGAGTGTTCCGAATGCGCGCGTATCCTAGGCCGACTACAACACTCCGAAATCCCGGATGCGCGCATTGTTTACCGTAAATCCACCCCGGCAACTTTGTCAATTTTTCGTCAATTCGAGCCTACATTCCTGGTTTTTCGATTATTCTTTCGATGTTTTTTGTGGAAAAGAGTTATGGCAGAATAAAAAATTGCTGAATTCTTGCAGAAACATGTCTTTCACTTGTTAATTGCTATGTTTTTCGCCAAAATAGGTGATATTGAGATTTATTGATTTCACTTTGTAATTATTGTAAAAATCGTATTTTCAGGTGGAGTAAAAGGTAAGTTGGTAAGTATACAATAATTACAAAGTTTAAATTATAAAAATTTTTAATTTTTCATGCAATTTCAAAAAAGTGAAAGTGAGACATTTTTTGAACAAATGAAAAAAAACAATTTTTAGCGAATTTTTTCCCATTTTCTTCTGTTTTTGATTGCATATCAAATTTAAATGGAAACTGCCATAAGTCTTTTTCAAAACCAAAACATTGAGTTTCGAAAAATCAGTAATATGTCGTTCAAAATATAAAAGAATATGGAATAATAAAGGAAAAGTACGAAATCGGAAGACCTGAACAAAATCACATCACAATAGAACTTAACTGATACTTCTAGAAACCCCCAACCAGCGTTTTAGTTCATTTCATCGAGTGCCAGCAAGCCAGGCGAGGAGATGCTTTGCGGCGGCGGTGTGCCCCATATGCCCCGTGTATGCCCCATACCGGCGTCCTTTCCCTGTACCCAATTCATCGGCGCGTCCTCCGTCGCCCATCCATTATGCGTATGCGCGCACAGGACCTGTGAATGACTGCATGAGTATTAAGGAAAAAAGTTTCTCGAAAATTCGTTCATAAACACCCCTCGAGGAGTTGAACTTGTGAGTCCACCGCTGAAGGTTTCGCGGCGCTACCAGCTGAGCTACGTGTAGCTCCATCTGAGGTGGCCGAACGATGGGGCATGTTATGCCCTTATGGTGGCTATGAGACGAGGTTAAACTAAGAGTTTATTTACATAGAGAGAACCATTTAATACAGAGTTCAATAAGCTTATATAGGCAGTTGCTATCGCCACGTAGATCTGAGGGTTGACGTCATCCAGACAGTTCACGTCACAACAGGGCAGATAAAAGAAACTCACTGATGGTACCTGGTAAGGAAAAGTTCTAAAATTATGTAGTTTTGTCGCTAGTTGTTATTTTTGATTGTGAATCGAATGGCGTTGACTGTTTTTCAGTATCTCTTCTAGTTTTTTCTTTACGCGCTCAAAATTAAAGGGGGTCGAATATTATTGTTGTGCCAAACAATTAGAGTTAGAGAGTATTTCTTGCAATATGTATACGGTAGGTACCTCGAAGCGGCAAGCCTAAATAGCACATATTCGGTGGAGACGCAGAAAAATTTTTTGATCAACTATCGGCGTCTCAACTCTAATTTTTTCGGAAAACAATAATAGATATGAACCGCACTGTGTAAGAACGGCACGATAACAACGCGCTATGAGAACACTGTACTCCGAGCTCTAAAGAAACTTTAAAATTAAAAAAGATGTTATTAAACAAAACTTCACCTGATGAAGATATCACTGTGAATGATATTATGATTTCTAAACCCCTTATGGAGCTTTTGTCAAATGAGGATTTTAAAACTAAAGACAATTTCAGTGTGAATGACATTGCCCTAATGTTCAGGTCGTTGGCTGGCACGATCTCTAAACTTCAGAATCATAACTCTGTGTTAAATACAAAAGTTTCAAATCTCATGAAACAAATATCTGCTCTCGAGATCCATGTTAAATCCAAATCCGATGAACAAAGTAAAAACTGATATTCCAGCTACAGTGGTTAAGTCATTTGCTCAAGTAGTAGCCTCTACAATTGCTGCAGCAGATTCTCAAATCAGTCTTATAAAGGCTGCGTTTATGCTAACACCGAAGAGACAAGAAAGTCCAATGTAATTCTAAAAATGTTGACCTTACCGCTGATGCGATCGAGAATGGGCAGTTTGCCAAATCTTGTCTTCTCTCTCTAAACTGGACAACAAAAAAGATTTTTATTAACAGAAAAATTTTGATTCTAAACAAAAAAAACACACCAGGGGTCATATTTTGGATAAGTATATTGGTATTTTGTTCCATCATCTGAAATAGTTATTTTTTGGGATTTTCAAAAAATTGACTCCCGGGTTTCTTGGGTTTTAAAAATTCCAGAAATTTTGAAGTTTTGGAAAATTTGAACTCCGGGAAATTCCAGAAAATTTCAGACATTCTAAAACATTCTGAAAAGAAAAAAATCAGCTATACCCGAAAGCCCAGGAACGTAATGATGGGTCAGCACACCATTCTCAATACCATCGTACATCACAAAAAACATCGATACGAGGGCTAGCTTCTAATTTTTGAACAACAGTGAGTTCGAGACCATCTTCTAACTGCAAGTTTCCAAAATCTTGGTATCCGAATATTATTCCACAAACTAACTTTTCCTAACATTCTAACCAGTTCAAATTCAGATTCACCCAGCATTTCTTTTCAATCTGTTGTCCATTGACACAATTTAAAAAAAAGTTTTCTGACTACTGTTCTTTTGAAAAATTAAATTACAATGTTTTTCATCTTCAGTAATTTTAGCTCTTTGACATTTTTCCAGTTTGACTTCATGAGAATTAACGGGACATGAAACATCAATTTTCCCAAATTTCATTCTTTTGCGCTCCTCGAGGAGTTGAACGTTTGGGTCCGCCATTGTATATGCGGCGCTGCTACCGACTGACTAGGTGAGGGCGAAGCTAGAGGAGCCGCCTGTACATAAAAGCGGTACGATAGCTGTACGCTGAGGGAGAAATAAACACGGTACACCGCTACGCCAGAAGGCATGCCGTAACTACAAAAAATCCAAAAATCTTTAAGCCGAGCTGGAACAACTCTTCAAAAAGTGGCATTTAAGACACGTTCTCTGTAGAACTCAACTTCAGGCCTATTGTCCACTGTACAGAAATTTTCAAACTTGTTTTTTCTGGCTGATTTCTCATACATTGCATTTTTATGGACTTCTAAGGTATATGAGATATAGTTTGTCTCGACGTCCCACACCTGCAAAAATATGGTCGTGGGGTGTCTAAAAATTTTTTTTTCAGAAGTGAAATAATGATTAGGTCTTGTTGTAGAACGTCTTTAGGCACTACTTCGAACTTTTTTTGTATTGGCACTATATTTATATTCTTCCATCTCCCCTGGAAAAAATTCAATTTTTTGGACCGAAAAATGACCGTCCTGGAAAAAATTTCCATTATTTTAAACATGAAATTCAGATTCTACATTAAAAAATACATCAGAAACTGTTTTGAGATGAAAGATAAACCTGAGCCCCCTATGAGTTTTAGGCAAGGCTGTGCCACGGCCGGCCGCGGCTTCAGAAAAAAAATATTCGAAGAGCCGCCTTTTTGCACAGTTTTGGTTTTTGGCCAAAATGTGCCCAAAAATGAGGTTTCACCATGTGGGGGAGTACATGGCAACAAAAATTCGACCAAAATCGACCCTCTCCGATTTTGTTCAAATTTTCACCAGATGTAGTATTTTTGTAGTACACTGGCACAGTCCGTGCTCTTCGTCTTCGTGCATTTTCAGAAGCACCAAAAAAGCGACAAAATTTGCTTCCAAGTCCATTTTCCATGAAAAATATGAGCTCTAGAAATACACGAAGACGATAAGCACGGATTCTGAAACTTTGCCAGAATACTACCCATCAAAAGTACTACATCTGGTAAAAATCTGAACAAAATCGGAGAGGGTCGATTTTGGTCAAATTTTTGTTGCCATGTACTCCCCCACATGGTGAAACCTCATTTTTGGGCACATTTTGGTCTAAAACTCATAGGGTGCTCAGGTTTATCTTCCATCTCAAAACAGTTGCTAATGTATTTTTTAATTTAGAATCTGAATTTCATGTTTAATTTTATAAAATAATGGAAATTTTTTTCAGGACGGTCATTGTTTGGTCCAAAACATAGCTTTTTTGCAAAAAATTGAAATTTTTCCAGGGAAGATGGAAGAATAGTAATGTAGCGCCAATACAAAAAATGTTTGAAATAGTACCTAAAAACGTTCTACAATAAGACCTAATCATTATTTCACTTCTGAAAAAAAATTTTTTAGACACCCCACGACCATATTTTTGCAGGTGTGGGACAAGTCGAGACAAACTATATCTTCCTTAGAAGTCTATAAACATGCAATGTATGAAAAATCAGCCAGAAAAACAAGTTTGAATTTTTCTGTACAGCACTATTTTTGGTTCTGTCAGAGAATGTGTCTTAAAGGAGGGCAGACAGCAAAAATTTCGGGGAAAATTTCAGGGAATGTGTATTTTGCCGTCACGGTGTTCGCACCTAAAGCACGCAATCCCACGCGCAAACATTTTTATTTTTTTATTTCCCGACTTTATTTTTTTCAATTTTTAACGACTTCAAACATTAAAAAAGCTCTTTTTTCTTATTTATTATAAAACCCATATAAAAGTGAATTTTTTATGTAAATTTAAAGTTCTATCGACCGATTATTTTGCCAGTCGCCGGTGTTTTTTATAGGCATGCGAAAAAAACTATTTTCTCTTCGATAACCGTTTCTTCACTGTTCCTATTTATCTCATTACTTCTCGTTATTACTCTAGGAATAAAAACTGTTTTATGACTAGGGTTTTCAGAGACGTCTCCATTTTTACTGCTTCCTTCACCTTCCGACGACCAGCCCTGCACGAGGATTGTTTTAATTATGTGGTTTTTCTTTCAATTGTTATGTCTCTTTCTAAAAATTAATTGTAGTTTTTTTCATAATTTATTTGTTAACATAATAAAACACGTTTCTTCATTTTCAACTGATTTTGATACCTCGGAGCGAGGCCTCGGCGGCACGCTGGTAGCCCTTCAGAAATTCCGAGTTCAAAAAGTTCAATCCGAAGGAAACAAGGAAAGAAAAAAGTAAAAACACCAGCAGGGATTGAACCTCTGACCTCCTGAATACTAGCCTAGAGCGTACCCACTATACTACGCGTGTAAGAGGCGACCATCGCGTTTTTCACATTATGAAGCGACGCCGCAGCAGCAAGCTAGTGAAGAAATTAGGGTGACAAAAAAGAGCATTTTTTCGTCCTTGAAGTGTTTTTTTCAGGTTTTTAAGTACATAGCTATATTTATACTTCAGAGTTATATCTTTTGAGTAAAAATGAAAATTTTGAAATTTTTGATGTCTACCCTCCTTTAACATCTTTGCAACAAATTTTATTTCCAGTTAAAATCTTAATATTCAAGTTATAAAGTTCCAAAATGCTCTTCATTACAATCTCAACCTTCCAGAGAATACTCGAATTATCGATCCATGTCCGAATCTCTCCACAAGATGCGAATGCCACGTCAGCAGTGACTGACATATGGCTGAATCAGACGACAGCTGCATTCCTTGTAGACGTACTTCATCAGAATATCACCATCCTCTAATTCCAATTTTCTAACCATTTCTTCGATATCTACAGATTTGAACGAGTGAAGAACCAGGACAACAAGACTTGTGCATCGCTCTTTGAGATCCTATAATGATAGTGGAGTATTTTTTGGGGGTGTTCCAGGTCACCTGCTCAGCATGTCCTAGTGGTGGTAAAAGGATTACAGATTTGAGAGCATCTTCTAATTTATTTGAATCCAAAAATTGACGAACTTGAATTACATCTGGACCGGAATTCGGGGTTCCTTGATCTGTAGAAAAAATGCATTGTTGTGACTGTAAAACCTGTATTGTGGGGTTATTCAGGTGAGGAAAAAAACTCCGCGAAAACTTGACGAATGAAATAATCTGGAGGGAACATATGGCCAAAATTTGGGGTCAAAACTTTAATGTTTTGTCTGAAACTCCAGAAAAATTTTCAAAATGGATATTTTCGTTCCACATTTGAGTAATATGGTTCCTATAGTTTGTTCCAATTTTCCCCAAAGTATCAGCCAGATTGGTTCATTCTCCGAGTTTTCGCTGAGTTTTTTGCTATTTCTTAGGTTTTCTTAGGTTTTTTGCCTCACCTGAATAATCCCATTAGACGAGCCAATGTTTCTATTTTTTGTAGGGTCTCTAGGGGCACTTCAATTAAAGATGCCCTTCTAATACAGGTCTTACGGTCGTCAAATTCGATAACACTTACTTTCATGGTGTTCGTAGAATTGAGCTGGGTCGTAATCATCTACATTATAGGTTCGGTAACTGGTATCAGGCATGGAGGCAAAACTTTGCCAGATGAGAAAATTCGAGGTGGAGAAAAGTTAGAGAAAATGACAGCTAAAATGGTCTGAGAAAAGTTTTTTTTTCGGCGAAATAGTTTTTCGGAAAAGTAAGACGGATTATTCCAAAATTGGTCGAGAACATTTCAAAACATTTCAAAACATGCGTTGCAGTTGAATAAAATGGTACAAAAACACTAGAAGACTCAGACTATCAAATTCTTTCTTCACTTACTTACAGGGGTGGCGCATAATCACCTGGACCCAATTTCGTACTAACATATAATTTGAGTAGAGAGTTGTAATGGGCTCAAATTTGGAGTGCGAAACTCAAATAATTCATCGATAAATTGGCTGAATTTCAACTTATTTTATCAAGTATTGGTTGAGTTATCGCTTGTCAAAGTTGCTTCATCTCATGAAACTCACCAGAAACATTACGCCGTTCATCTTTGGACGATCATAACCTAGGTGTTTTTTTTTACATTTTTTCAGAAGGATTGATACGATGTGAAGGACAAAAGACGACTGGAATGATAACGGCAACGCCAAGATCGATTGGGTTATTTTTTCCACTTTATTTGTTTCATACGAATAGAATATTCGTAGAAATAAGAAAACAATTTCAGGAGCGAAGAACAACCGAGGAGGTCATCGGAAATCGGGAGATACAGAAGAAGGACGTTTCACAGATGAGTTCTGTTGTTCCGTTCTGTGTTGTGTGGGACGGTGCTATAACGGAGCTTTATTCGGTTCAGTGCTCGATGAATAGCTTCAAGGCTTTGTTCACTAGCAATACTTCTATGCGAGATAGCAAGCTCTACAGTATGCTCCAGTAAGAAATGCATCTTTGGCGTCACGTTGGCCCATAACTGCCAACCACAACTTTTCCTTCTTCCAAGGAAGGAAACAGATCGAGCATTCCCATGGGTTTGTACCACCTTTTCAGTTCCGAATACATCTTCCTTGTCAATCCTAAACTGTGGTACATGCATAATGCCTCCAGGGCGTAAAAGTGACTTGTGCATCATTTTCCTATCTAGTGCTCTGATTATGTGCATAAAAAATGCTCAGGATTTTCCTGACCTAAATTTAGTTTGTTCGTGTCCAAAGTTCTAGATATTTTACCTGATAGGTAATGGAATTGTTCAATAGCTTCATCAGTTCGTGTTTTCTGAGCCAAGTAGTTTGTGAGGGAATCAAATGACTTTTTACGGGGCTTCTGTTGCTTTTCTCATTTTCCCCTCTCTTTTGCCAGCATCATCTTCTATTTTTTGAATTTTCAATTGCTTCTCAGCAATTGAGAGATTATGTCGCAAGTCTTGGTTTTCTCGGGACAAAATCATTTTTCATGCAATGCTTCCTAAAAAGTTACACACTTTACTATTTATTTTTCCTTTGAATTTACTTTGAGCATTCCTTTCATCTAGAATGTCATCTTGTTGTTTCGCCGCTCCTCTACTTTTTGCAAAGTCTGAAAATTTATTATTTTTACTGAAAAAAGCGTCGAAAATTATCTAAAATGCACTTAAAATAGGAAAAATGAGAAAAATTGATTTCATCAAACGTCCTAAAGCTTTGCCCCACCTTCTTATCAATAGAGCGAGTTTGCAAAGGTATTAAAAACCCTGTGATAACCTTGGCTTGAGGAATTGCTTCAAATTAAAACTTTAGAAGTTTTTTTATCATACGTAAAATTATAGTGCTACCAAACTTTGGGCTTCCAAGATACTTATGTCTAAAGATTTATTACTCTTGTCCGAAATCAATGCACGTTGCGGCCGAGAAAACAACGGTGGGAGGAGCTTAGCTCCCACAGAGAGAACCTTACTGTATTTTTCAAATTATTGCACGCGCCTTTAATACAGTACCTCAACATTTTTCGAATTTTTGCCTTTTTCTCTCATTTTTTCGCTTGTTTCTGTCTAATTTTGTGTAATTCTTATAAATCTTTAATTTATTTTTCTTTAAAAATAGAAAAAAACAGCCAAATAGGGCCCAAAATAAAAAACGTCCGAGGTACGGTATTTAAAGGCGCATGCATCAATTTGTTTTTTCGCTGTGCGAACGACGATGCGATTTTGAGTAAATTTTCGGCCGCAACGTGCATTGATTTCGGACGAGAGTAATACTCGTTTTTATCAGTCCTTGTAATTGTGCGGCACCCTGAATTCTTCAATCTTATAAAACGATTTTCAATGAAAATATTTATTCATCACAGAGCTTTGTTTTTTTGTTTTTGATATTTCACCTTGTTTGAGAAAGTGAAAATATACAGAAGAAATTGTACCCAAATTGAAAAGGAAAGGAAGCCAAGTAAGCATAACATGGAATTGCTAGATTATGCTAAAGAAGCGATTTCGAACAATTGAAATTAATTTTTTACTGGCTTCTCACAGAATAAAAAATGGAACAAGTTGTACACGATGAGGAAGGTTCAAACCCAAATTTCGGACAGGTTTCGGGGGGAGTCACAGAAAAAAAGAGGGAAATTATTATGGCGAATCGGGAGAGACACAATTTTATTGAGAAATCATCTTGTTATTTTTTTTGAATATTTTCAAGCCTTCGAACTTTTCATTCTGGCGACCACTTCCTCAGTGACCATCAACTGATCGTCTGGATGCTCTCCATATTCTGGAAGTTCTTCGAGAATCTGAAAAATTATTGAATTAATTAATGATCTACAGTATCCTAATAAATTACCTTGACCAAATTATCAATTCCTATCAGATATCCATCCTCATTGTTTCCTGGAACCCAATTCGTGCGGTGATTCAAAGTTCGTCCATTCGGAACCGGAGAACTTTTGGCAAAATCAATCATCCAACATCCCACTTTTTCCGTATCGAAAACAATCAGAATACTGCTTCCGACCACTTCGTGAGTGTTGAAAAATGTCGAATTCTCGATGGCTTTTCTCATTGATTTCAGTCGTTCGATCAATTGTTTTCGGACTCGGCTTCTTTGCATTCCAAAGAAGTCCATGAAAGTCGTTGTGACGTCTTCAACTGTTCGCACTTTTTTGAAGTTTTTCTCCAAGGCTCCTTCGAGTCTCTGCAATTTAAGAAATTAGGCTTGAAAAGCTCAAAATTTTGACTTTTTTCAAAACTATCTAGAAGCATCTAGAATTATCTAGAACTGTCGAGAACCATTTAGAGCCATCTAGAAATTAGTAAATCAGTTTAGAAGCAACTAAAACTATCTAGCCATTTAAAGCAGAATCATCTCTAACCATCTAGACATATCTAGACTCGTCTAGACTCATTTTGAAATAACTAAAATCCTTAAAAACCATCTAAACTAATTTGTTTCTTCTAATTCAATTTAGCTTGACAAGTACGCTCGAATGAAAATATCAAGAGAATAAATCAAAATGTAGAACCCAATTCATGAAGTTATTTAGAAATTGTGTACTACTGAAAATCCAACGATAGTATCTTTTTGTGTGTTTTTGAGTTGTCAACCAATATTTTAAGCAACAAAAAAACAATTCCTTACCTTAGCTGCCTCGATTCTGAATCCCAACTGAGCTGTACTACTTTCTCTTTCTCTGAACTGCATATATCTCAATTTAGTGATAGCTCCACACTTTCTCTCTTCTTCCGTTGGCTCATCATTATCAATTGTCACCATCTTCTCATACAAATCTGCTCGCTTTTTTGTATTCGAAACTTCAGATTCCAAAAAAGTTCTTGTCCCAATTTTGATGTCCATGATAGCCGTTTTGGTGGGATCGGCAAACTGTTGAAGAAGATCTTCGATTTCGATGAAATCTGAAATTCCGGGATATTAAAACTCAGGCTTTTAGAGGGATTTCGCTTACGTTCTTCATTCTTTTCCAACTCATTATAATATTTAGGTGTGAATCCATCGAGTGCCGGATCCTTGGAAATGTTCTTATAAGCTCTTCCCTCTCCACAGTTCACACACTGTTTCTTATACAACGTATGAGGCGTGGCTGGCACTATGCTACCTAGAAACATCATTTTTCCGGTTTCTTTTCCTTCCGTCTGATATACACACCTTCATGTCCTGATAACTGAACCCATTTCTTGAGTCGCTCTTTGAGCCAAACATCCATCGGAAGTGCTGTGATCGCCATGGTTTCAACGGATACCTGAAATTCATTTTTTGTAATTTTTTGATTTTTGATTTTTTCTTTCCTTTGATCAGTAGGTCTAATCCGTTTATTTAGGTTTGGTTCGGTTTTTTGGGTTCTCTGATAATGGAATTATTACCAACTAATTATTATTAGCTGATCGGTCTTTCATTTTTCTGTCAAGAGTCTTGACTCAAGACTCAACGGAAATCAATCCGATTAGAAGGACAAAAATATCATAAAATACAAGCACGAGACTTGAGGAGACGAAGTACGTCATTAGGAGAAAAAAAAGTGGAATGATGGTATATGAAAATTGTATAGTGAAGAAGAAGAAATTGAAAAGTTCTTTCTATGCAAACCGGGAATCTTTGGAACTTGTAGAATCTATATTTCTGGGCCGACGAGTACTACAAAATGATAATATTTGAAAAACTGTATCTTCTTTATGAAGAAAGTTACAGACGAAATGGGCCAAAAAAAGACAGGGCTCGGTCCGGCCCTTAATGGCTTATAACCTTATTTATAGACAAGATACAGTTGTCCAAATAATATTGTTTTATAGTACTCATCGAGTTTTATCATATATATTTTTATTGGTTCAAAAATATAGATTCGAAAAGAAACTATGAAAAGGCCCGGTTTGGGCTCAGAAGAATAACGTGGAAAGTTCGCTGTATAGATGTATATCATTTTGTATGAAAAAGACCTATATATTCACCTGATCATCTAAAACATCCTCACAACACGATTGAGTACGTCTTCCAATTCCTAGACGACGTCCAAGATCAAAACTAGCTTCATGATACCGACTATGCCAAATGTCAGCTAATTTCGGACGAACAAATCTCAATGCCTTTCCCGATCTCTTACGAATCAAAGTGGAATATGGTGGACGGTTAGATGGTATCTCATTCTGATTATTGTGATGACTACTAGATGCTTCTTCAAGAACCAGATCTTCTGAATCCTCCTCTTCAAGACTGCACAAATCGATAGAAGCGATTTTTGTGATATGAGCTGCGCGTCTGAGTTGACGGTGTTGGGCACTCATAATTGAAGAAGTAATAATAACAACTATCTTTTATTGGAAAATAGAGAGTTGATGGGAATGAGAAGATTGATTGAGGAGTGTTGAGTGATGTGCTCTGATAAATAGGCTCCGCCCCTTTTTAGCGGTGGTGTTGATAAGAAATCGAATGGAATGTTTGACGATGGATGGGTTGACGAATCGACAGAAAATATAAAATTCGTATGCATGAGTGCAGGTGACTCGTAAAGCGAGAGTCGTAAAGATATGGAACGCTAAAAAATACCTATGAATTTAAAATGTACCGGAGAACAACTAGAGTTGAGTCGGAAATGAGAGAGCAGAGAGATAGTGGAGACTCAGACGAGCAGAAAAAAGATTTTTGGGGGTTAAAAAGTGACCTTACAACTATCTAATCTAACCTACCCCACTGTATTTACCCTATAAACAAATAATTTTTTGAGTGAGCAAAAAAAAATCCGCCCACTTTTTGTTTGTCTTGATATATTTGAAATCGAATGAGAAGAGAGAAAATGGAGCAAAAATCGAAAAAAAAGAAATTGTCAGGAGAGAAAATAATGGATTTATAATAGATTTTTGGGGAGGACAATGTTTTCAATCGAAGACAGAGATGATTTTGTGCGATATGGTAGTTGGAAGGTAACCTCGATTTGAAATTTGGTACCGAGCCAATTTTGGACAAAAAGTGCAACATAGAGCACTTTCGTTAGGTTCCAAATTTTCCGTGTTTTCTGATTATGAGAACGTTAATTTTGATGAAGACTAGAACAATAGAGCGCATTGAAACAGTTTGTCCTAGGAAAACTAACAGGTGCGCTCTATCGAATTTTCAAAAAACATTCATGACAGTTTTTTAAAGAAAAAAATCCAAGAACTAACCTGCACAAGTTTTCCAAACGCATCACAGAATGCGCGATGCTCACAGGATTCTGGCGATGGTTTTGGTGGAGGACTCGCCGGACGTGTCGTCGGGTATGGGAAGCAGCTGATTATCTGGAAAATTATGGCTGAAATTATGATGGGAGAGAGAGGGAGGGTTCGACGTCTTCTAAGTACCTTATCTAAGGTGTTTGGTTACGTGGTAAAGCTTATGTGCAAAACGGGACAGGTTTTGGTGATTTTAACGAGTTTTTTTAAGAGTATGACTCAAAAATAAGTTTTTGTATAGTTTGGCATAGGTAATTTTGATTTTTTTGCACATCGAGTATCAGTACAAGTTTTCTGTACATATTCATCCAGCTTACCGTAAACACTCTAATAAAAGGCCACTCAAGTTTGAGCCCATATATCTCATTTCCTGTAAAAGATATTAAAAAATGGTCAACTGACAACATATTTTTTATAATATGATAAACATTTTATCAGTTGAACGCTCTTTTATATCTCCTACAGGAAATGAGATGTATAAGTTCAAAGTGGCAGTTTCGGCTTCTCTTGGTACATCAATTGGTCAAAAATAAATATAAAAATTTGAGACTTTTTCGAAAATTTCAGATCAAATTTACTAGTTTTAGACCTCTATAGTTGAATGAAAACAAGAAAAAAAATGTCATCTTAAATTGTCAGACAAAAAGATCAATTCCGAATAAGTTTCAGTTAAAGGTCCAATAGAGCGCATTTGCTATATTCATAAATTTGAAAAAAAACTAACATTGGCAGCCATTCGTTTGAGAAGAATACTCTTCTGCGGAGAGTACTTATCGTTAGGATCCAACAACATGAGCTCAGTTAGTTTCTCAAATAATGTGGTCATGAATATTTTAGGAATTGAGTAAAACAGAAGTTTCTTGGCACACAAAAACGCTTTTTGACTATAAGAAGGAAGGTGTAAAAAGCTGCTGATAATACGTCGCTGCGTCGCTACGCGTCCCCGCCTAAAGACAAATGGGCGGAGCCTAATCAACTATCCCTGTCTCTCCAATTTTCACACTCTCTCCCTTTCTCTAGTGTTGAAAGAAGTGAAAAGTGACGAGAGAAGGCAACAGGAACGGGAATGGTTGGGGAAGAATATAGTAGTGTCTAATCTAATTTACGGAAGTTAAGATAATGCTGAAAATTGTGGAATTCCTTTCAAGGCTCCAGAATCGCCGCTCACGTCATCTGGTAATTGTTCTGAAACACGACACGTCATACATACTAACGTAGTGGAAGATTTCATGTGTGGGTATTTACGTAAACAGGAAAAGAAAAAAGGAATATATGTAAGTTATGATGAAACAGAACATTTGACCTGATTCATAAAGGCTAATTGCGTCAATTTGGGGGAGTTTAGGTCTTGTGGAAAAAACTGTTGGGTTTGATTTTTTATTTCTGAATGACATGTCACAGGTTCTGGAATATTATCATGCCGTCATTTTGAATAGGGCTGGAATCATTTGGAGAAACAAGTTTTTCTAGTTTGAATGAGAAGTTTTCTAATGGGTTTTTTGAAAGGCAAACAAAACTTTTTTTGTTGGCACATCGCCAAAAATTGATCGGAAGAGAAAAAAAATTTTCAAACTACAATAATACCAGGAAGATTGTTTTTTTTTGACAGATAATGGCATCCCCAAGTGCCGCAAGTGCTCTTGATTTACGATAAAGCCTGTAATAGAAGGATCCTTAACCTTTAGCTTTGAGCCAATGTTTCTCAGTTTCTTTCAGATATACAAAGAATTGTTAACTGATAATTTTTTTATCATAACATTATCTATATTTTATCAGTTGACGAATTTTTGATATCTCTCATAAGAATCGAGATAATTGAGCTCAAAGTGCACTTACAGGGCGGGCTTCTACTGGAGCCAAACGGTAGTTTACTTCCTTCCAAATATTTTACTCACTACAAAAGTTGATATTAATAATTCTTTTGGATCAATTAATGAGTCTTCAGTAACCCGTGAGCATTTCCAGAGACCACCTACAGAACACAGTTATCATTGGAGCACACTTTCAACTACACCGAATTCGTAGTTTGTATAGTATCACTTCACTGATCATATATCCCGTGCTTTGTAGTGCTTTGACCTCAACTCGAAACTTCTGAAAATCATTGTCTCAAATGTGTTTTTTATTATCACATAATTGATAAGACGTCATTTTGGGTGCTTCCGATTGTCGCATTGGAATTCCCTTACCCCACGCATAAATAATTCCAATCTTTAATTTTTCCTTCTAATTCGGTCACATGGTAAATAGTGGAAGGAGAGGAAAAACAGGAATTTTAGAGTACTCACACATTCCTTCTTTTTTGTTTTTAAAAAGTTTAAATTCCAAGGGTCAAAAAAACTACTGTACCTAAGGCTGATTTTCATTCATTTTTCTCAAACTTTGATTTCAGTCGTTCGTCTAGAAAAAAGAGAGCACTTAATCGAATCAATCTGTAAGAGACTAGATCCTCTTTTCTTAAAAAAAACAGGTTCGTCATATGAGGAACAAAAAGTAGTGTTTTTCTATTTTCTCTTGTTCATCGAAGAAAAAAGAATAATGCAGAGAACGATGAGTAATCAATTTAAAACGAAATCCTTACTCTTTTTCGACTGCGGCGGGGGAACGTGTGATTCATCTGGAGACAGGTACAAGTTTGTGTGTACTTTTCCAGGGGGCAAATGCGGGTGAAAAGAGATAAAAGTGTTATGATAATCAAGTGGTTGATTATGATAATTTTTGTGGGCGAAAGGGATTGCGGGAAACGGGACAGGCACAACATTTCCGTTGCGGCGGAGATTACTCATCGTTTGCGCCGGGGGTGATACTGTATTGGGGACAAGAATGAGCAATAGTTTGTTGGTTTTGTGTTTAAATTTGAATTTTCGAAAAATTTGACTCATTTGAAGTTCAGACTGGTATGTTTCCCAAAATTTTGAACAACTATTTTGAGCTAATTGTAAGGAAATGTTCCTCTCGATTTCAAACTACCGTAAACCCACTATTAGAAGGCCGCCCTATATTTTTACTTCGAGCCCATATATCTCGGTTCCTGTGACAGATATCAGAAAGTAGTCAACAGATAAATTGTTTTTAATATTTTGATAAACATTTTATCAGCTGACTACTCTTCGACATCTTTCACAGGAACCGAGATAAATCGGATCGAAGTGCGAGTATTGCATGGCCTTCTATTAAAGTTTAAGGCATTACTGTGAAAAGAATATTTCCAAACTTCAAGCTGTTCTGGCATTCAGATTTTTTTATTTTCCAGGAAGCCTAGTAAACAGGATACAGTAGTCGTCAAAAAATCTGTCGTTTTGTATTCGCTTAGAGCAGTTTCAGTCGTTTCGGAAAAGGCTAAAGTGCTACAAAGTGTCAACTTCCTACTACCGTAATCTCGTTCCAAGCACAAAGATCGTTATTTTGAAACTCCCAGAAAAGTTATCAATCGAGCGCACTTTCCTTTATGAATCTTTTTCATACATCACTCTCTCGGCTTTTGAGTACACCTGTTTTCTTCGCGAAGTGTCATGTGTTTTTAGGGAAAACGTGCTCCTCACAAATACCCGCATTTTCCTTCTTGAGTTTGTCTCATCTTATCACATGTAACATACATTATCAGTTCAATTCGAATCAGTCAATAATTTGAAAGAAGAAGCAACATTTTGTTAGAAAGGGAACAAAGAGAATTGATTTCTATTGGAATCGGTGGACCTAAAAAACGAAAACACAAATATGCTCAAAACTCTATTGATACCACTTCCAAAGGTTTTAACAGTTTAATAAGTTTTTCAAGCCTCGAATATTATTCTGACTTATTGTTGTTGTTTAGCTCATAAGCTCAAAACTTCCAATAACATTTCACAGTTTTCGAATCTTGATATAAGCCAGATTGGTCATCACGCCCTTTTTGAGCTGCTGATGACAGTTCCGCAGAAAACACAACTTTTTCCAGGTCACAATGACAAACAGAGAAAGTGACGAAAAGAGGAAAATAATGAAGTAAACATTTCGTCTTGTAAAATGTCACTCCGGTAGTTTCGGGTGACCTGAAAAGAGTTATCAGAAAACGAAATGGAAGTTGAAAAGTTTATCAGGAGACAATTGTCCGGATGCACAAATTATAAAATGATAATCTGTGATTTGGAAATTTTTTGAAAAAGTGTAACCGAGTTTGGGAGTCGAATCAAAGAATTAGAAAAATATACCACCTCAGTTAGCAAAAAATCAACAAAGTTCAATAATTTTAGCTCCCGCACATGACACTCTAAAAGTTTCGAAGCAGTTGAACATATCAATTAGAAACCCAAATTCCTTCTTTAGTAGAAGACGCTCACACTTTTCTAGGATACTGTAAGTTCGAAATTAATTATCTTGGTTTATATGAGTGGTATCAAAAATTGGTCAACTGATAAACTAATTATCATAATATCACCAATATTTTATCAGATGACAGATTATTGATATCTCTCATAGGAATTGAGATAATTGAGCTGAAAGTGGATATATATGGTGAGCTTCTGAAAATACAGTAAACTTGTTTTGATTTCGTAACATTTACCTCAACTCTAATGTGACTCATTAGCTGTTGTTTTTTATGGCTTAGAAATCCCTAGACCGTCTTATGATATTGCGAAATTACCGGGTTGTGACGTAACGAGTCATTATTGCCGAGTCAAGTTCTCATCTTGACCTGTCGTTGAAATTGTTCGTTTTTGATTGGAGAGGCTGTCCAATATTAGATCAACAAAAACCTCTTATCAGTAAATCAAAAGAATATCCAAATTTAAATAATGGCAAATTTTATAAAGAAAGTGAACTTATCAAATGTGCTCCATGGATAATCAAATTCTAATTCAGTTCTAAACCTTCATGAGTTCAAAATTCATTTTTTCATACCTAAAACCCATCGAATATTAACGACCTACACCTATAAATTTTGAGAATATCTATTTTTAAATTTTCATCTGTTTCTTCATCTGAAACTTTGAACTCGTTGTCTTATGGTGTTTGCCTTTTATTGTCACCGGAAAACGAATTTGTTTTTGATGCTCAATGTCTATGAATAGTTTTCGTGCAATTCGGTGATTCCCCATCGTCCACTACCCTAATCAGTTTCCTAATTCTCCATTTTCGTGCAAAACGCTCTTTCGACCTGCTCACGTTTTGAGCTGCTCTGCTGCTTATCAACACCCAATTTTTTTCACCGAATCGCGTCGAGTTGAATATTTTTCCAGAGAGAAAATAGAGTCTCCCCATTTTTGTGACGCAAAACCGAAAGTTTTTGGGTTTTGTAGGTGATAAGAGGACTTTGGAAAGAAAAAAGTGTGAATATTGACCGAAAGTGTTTCTAACTCGGGGGAACAAATGCAACTTTAATGGGTTTCGGATGGGACAATTAAAATTTTGAACGTTGATAGATCAGCGATCGTTTCCAACTAACCTGCATCAACCGCTCTTGGGTTGGAGCCGACTGGGGACTTGACGATGCATCGGAATTCATTGTGTCCCGATGATCGCATACCGACGGTGTTGGAATTTCCTCCCACACGACAAATGTGTCCTCGCGACGGCGACGTTGATTTCCACTTATTCTGAAATTTTTGTGCATGGTAACGAGGCATTGCAGAGAAACGATACTAGTTCAAATTTTAGAATTCAGTTTGAGAAGAAACATTTTCGAAATCATTTGAATTTTTTTTCGGTTTTAGCCTAAATGTTCAATTTTCTAAATCTCTAAAATTTACAGGAAAATCTTACAATCGATACCAAATCAAGTAATTCTGTCACAAAAACCAAGTTTCTAGTTCTTCTAGGAGCCGAGATACAGGCGTTTGATGTTCAGAAAGCGAGAGACGCAGAAAACGAGAAACTCTAACTGTCTGCGTCTCTTGTAAACTTCAAACCGATGTATCTCGCTTGCCAGTGATCCGTTTTTATTCGTTTTTTGACAAAATTTCGTATAATTCTTTGTTCTATCAGACAATACTTGAAATCACTTTGAGCAATAAAATTTTGTTTCGAAACTGTTTACAATTCTTTCTGTTTTCTGTTTTCCCTTCTTAGAACTCTCGAAAATGTTTTTTGCAAAAGCGCTTCACCGAAATCATTTTCCATTTGACTTTTGAAATTTGAATCATTTAGATAGAGCGCGTTTGCAAAGTGCGAACTTGGTTTTCATTTGTTTGTTCGTTTTTATTTTTCAACCACAAAAAACAACAGACAAGGAATGTTATAGGGGTTTTGTACACTTTCTCACCCACATCATTTCATAATTACTAGCAAAAAACACATACTAAACACCGCCATTTTTATTATTGCGTATTAGTCCTAATAGCAAAAACAAGAACACAAACATTGATGGCTGCAAAAAAAGGGAAAAAGAAGAAACCAAAAAAATTTTGTGGAATGAGGGAATGGAAGAAGGAAACTGGAATTATTTGTTTTCAAGGTTAGGTTTTCTATTCGAAGGAAGAGAGGTTTTGAGGGAGAAACTTTTCAACTTAAAAGTGTACAATTTGTGGAAAAAAAATTGTTAAAAAGTGCTACCAGAACACATGGCAGAAATCAAAAATTTTTGGTTTGATGGAACGAGAAAGTTAAAATTTCAGAATACCGTAAAAAGCTTGTTTAATTATCTCAATTCCTATGCTAGACATCAGCAATGTGTTAACCGACGGAACATTTTATATTATGACCAGCAAGCTGGTGCGCCTTCGGCGCGTTTTAATCAATTTTCTTACTGGTTGCTAATTTTGCTCCTAATTTTTTGAAAAAGGTCACGTAAATCTATATTTATTTTCCTAGGTTTTCAAAAGTTCATATTTAAGAAAGATAACCATGCTATCAGTTGACAACTTTTTGATATCTTTGACAAGGAACCGAAAATTGGGTTAATGTTTAGAGCTCTTTTACTACAGGTTTTAGGGTATCAAATTTAGACGATTTCAGCTAAAAAGTTGTAGACTTTGAAAACCCGAAACGGGTATAAAACTATAGGATTTTGTCCGTTGGGTCTGAAAATGTTCATTCTTCTCTGGTAAGAACAGCTTCGAAATTTAATAAATAATTGATTTCAGTAGAAATTTTTCTAAAGTTAATTGATGAACTCATCTTTTTCAAATCTAGACGAATTGGGCTTTCATCGGATAGTCGAATATTTTGAAACTTTTAAGTACCTCAAAAACCTGTACTATAATGATCCCAGTTGATGACTTTTTGATACGTTCTACGGGTCCCAAGATAAATTTGGTCAAAGCTGAAAGCCCATTTTTCACAGAGTTTCCGGTAATTCTAGGAAAACAATCGTCCTTATGAATAAAACGCTAGAGGCGTCTGTCCGTCCCGGTGTCAGTCTGTAAACTTTTGAAAAGCTTGAAAAATTGATACAAATTTACGTGACCCTTTAAAAATAATTGAGGAGCTGAACCACGAATCAGTAAAAAAACTAGATTGATTCGCGCCGAAGGCGCACCAGCTTGCTGGTTTAAGAATAAAATAATACTTCTTAGGACCTAGAACTTTAAATTTTGTTAAAAAGTTAGAATAGCATGAATTTTGGAGATTAAAAATCATAGATTTAGAAAAAAATCGTTTAGCGAGCATTTTACTAAGAACATTCATCTATTTGTTCGTATGTATCATTTCCTTTTCCTCTTTTTCATCTCTTCTATTTTTACATAACAAAATCCTTCTATGAAAACATTCAGTCGCCAGGAAGACGTACATTTTTGTCACTTATTTTTAATATGCATTTGTGCATATTTTTCCAACTTTAGTGAAAAAAAAAAATCAAAAACTCACTTCAATCTCAATTTTGATGGCAACTTGTTCGGTCGTTTCATTTCTCCGTTGGATGATCTGAAATTGGGAAAAAACTAGGTCGAATGACAGAAAAATTGATTTTTCTGTTTTTGAGTGAAGCACAAAAGAAACAAACAAATTCAAAAGGGTTTTTTGTTTATCGTTACAATGTATTGCCAATTTTTGTATTTAATCTAAAAGAAAAACTAAAAATCTCACCCTCCCCATGACCAGCATCCCTGTCGTTTGTCATGACGACTTGACCCGATTCCCATTATCTGAAAAATTGAGTTTGTTCTTTTATATCTGTGGTCATTTCTGTAAATGTAAGTAATGTTTTCATCTTCTGAAAATGAATACTTTGAAATTTTTAGAAATCTATAAAATTCAAAAAAAAACTTCTAGAATGTGTCTAGAATACTCAAAATGTTTAATTTTCTGAATTTCGAGATGTGAACTTTATCTGATTTCCGAATACCATGGATTGACCTTGACGATTTTGAGAACCCAGAATAGAAAACTAATAGAAAAAATACTAATAGAAAAATTAAGATTCTGAAATTCCAAGATTCCAAGAGGTTCACAGATTCTAAGTTTTTTGAGTTTGCGACTTTTCTGATTTTCTACTTCTAAAACCACCAGTTGCCCAGCTCTGGATCAAAATATTTTTAAATCTTTGAATCTAAAAATTCGTAATAGTGGGAAAAATGTTATTTAAAGCCAGACATCCAAGAATCTGTAAGCAACTCAAATCGAATGAAACTGCAGAAATTCAGAATCTCAGAATTTCCGATTATTTCAAATTCCAAAAATTTGTAGGTTATTCAATCTTTGTACCCCTAAAACTATTGAGCACAAAATGCCAGGGTCTTTTCATTTTTTGTAAATTCGTGTGACAACCCGATTAATATTTTTCTGTTTCTGTGGTCTACTAAACTCCATCGATCTGAAAAATTTTCCTTTCGGGTCATTTTGTTGCCAGTTGATATTCGGAGAGGAGCAACGAGGAGCCACACGGATTATATTATTATCAGTTGAAGAGCAGAAAACGACGAAAACTTTTTTTTCTTTTTGCTTATTTTTATCAGTTCTTCTAGGCTACTGAAGAATTATAGTTTTCGGGACCAATCCATATCTTTCCAAGAATTAAAAAAAAACGAACCTTGGCGTAAATCGCCTCTAGCATTCAATGCTGTCAATCCGATTAATCAAATGGGAGTGATCACCCGATTTTCAATGAACAGGAGGTGAAAATCTGAAAAATTATCATTAAAAAATATGGAAGCGAAAAAGATAAAAAGAGAAGAGATAGAGGGAGGAGATTATGCAAATTCGCTATATTGATAATCGCTTAATCGGTCGCTAGAAATATTCAAATGTGATTGATGTTCGAATTCGAAAATTCAAAATGTGAGAATAGGCGTTTTCAACATGAAGTCTTGAAATATCAAACCCCAAATCCCAGAGAAGCTCAAAATACATTTTCTTTCATGAAATTTCTAAATACCAAAACTTCGGAAGAACTCAAAAATTGATTGTATTTTTTCTTCAATTATAAGCTCCCAACTCTTATAATCTCAATGAAACGGATATCCATTAAAATACCAGAATACCAAAATTCTTTAGAAACACAAAATTTTAGGACGTTAAAATCTCCAAACCTGATTTTCCTAAAGTACTCTAGTGGAAGATCACCTAAGCCGTCGACTTTGAACCAATTTATCTCATTTCCTGCGAAAGATATCCAGAATTTGTCAACTGATAAATTATTTGTAAAAAATCGCAGAATCTCGTAGTTTTTAAGTTCAAATACATTTATGGAATCTATGAAGCTAATTATATTTTCAGAACATTGAAAATAGGTATCTAGTAAGCAGATGTGCTCCAATGAAACAAGCGAATTTCAATCCACAAAACAAGGCAAAGCCAAAAACGAAGAAGAAATAAAAACCGCTTCTCGCTCTTATACCAGCAGAACTAAGGGATCAACTTCTGCAATAAACGGGACGAACAGTTTCAGCAAAAACAGAAAACGGGAAAAAAAATGAAGAAAAAAACTATGCTGAAACTGTTACAGAAAAGAGGAGAAATGGAGAGAAGAAAATGACAATTTTACGAGAGAATCATAAAGTTTTATCGGTTTTGGTGAAGAAAAAATGGGAGGGGATGGATGGAAACGAGGGGCAAAAATATATAAGGCAATATTTTTTGAATTGAATATTTAAAAAAAAGAAACATGTGGCTTTGCAAAAGCAAAATTATCGGAGAATGCTAATGAGGAAATTTCGATGCAAGAATATATCAGATATTGGTTTTTTTTTCATTGGAAAATAACCTACTTGCAACGGACCGGGAAGGATTTTTTTTCAAAATTCGAAAAAAAATTGAAACTTCAATTTTTTCAAAAGTCACTCCAATTTTCAACTTCAAAGAAACTTCAATTTTTCAAACCCGGGCTATGAAATTCTCCGGCCTGGCCCAGCCTAACCCGGGGCCCTGATTTGTCAAGTAACTAGTCCCATTTGGAGCCCTAAAAAGGTAGTTCGGAACTTTTCCATTGTTCTGAAAATTTGAGAGTACACTAAACAAAACTAGAGCTTTAATTCTGTAGTTGGCAAGTTTTTGGTACAAATCCAACAAAACAAGATAAACGGTTACATTTGGAACTTTCGGCGTTTTTTTTGCTATAAAACGGTATCTGATTATGAAGCTCTAAAAAATATTCTGGAATGTTTTTTTTTCGAAAAATTCTGGAATGTTTTTTCAAGACTCAGAACTTGACTAATTTTCATGGAAGTATTCAAAATATCATGATTGATTCTTTGGAATACAATTTGATTTAAAAAATATTTGTGAACTCCCTAGCTTTGAAATTTACTTTCTCGAAATGTTATTAGGCAAAGTTTCATAATGATCAGAATCCTAGAACCTCGGTGAGGGGCACAAAGGTGAAATTGTATATCTCAATGACCGGTACTTTATTTTTGTAGAGTACTGTATATATTTGAACAATCTAATGCTGATACAATTTTAAAAGCGAGTGGAAAAGAAACACAGAAAATCAGGAAATTGGATAAATACAGTAAACTCTGATGTGAATACGATACTGTATGGAACTAATTCAAATAAAAATCCAGTCTGGTTCTTTTGACACTAAACAACTTCTTCGATCTTTTAAAGGGCAATTAATTAGTGATGTCGTGTTCAATACATAAAACATTTTTATTAGTTCATCTTCCAAAACAAAACTGATAATTAAAGGATCATGGGGAAAAATAGAAAAGTTCCGTTTGCAAAAAAAAAGTACAGCGTGCTTCAGTATGGTATAAAACTGGTGCGGTTTAGATATATTAAATTGAAAAAAAAAAGTTGATCTACTTTTGATAGATCAGTTGGTACCCCGATTTGAGAGTATTAAAAAATTGAGAAGAGAACTTTCTAGAACCTCTGATCACTATGGAACTAAAAACCAATTCTAACCGTAAAACCTATAAAAATACGATCCGAATGCAAAAAAAGAACGAAAACCCTTGGAATTTATTTGCAGACAAGATTGAATAGCTAGAGACAGAGAAAAACGAAGAGACGCAGAGAGACACGGCAAAAAGTGTACAAAAGCGGGGCCCAAACAAAAAAGACTCTCGTGTGAATCGGGTGAAACCTGGGAAAGTGACCACAACGGAAATCGGGTGAGAAACTGGTTCTCCCTTTTTTTGAAAATTGAAACAAAGGAGATAATAGAAATTGAGGAGACATGACATGAAATCTTGATAAAAATACAGGCAGAAGGTCAGTGCGGGAAAAGAAAAAATATGGGGAAAAGGGAAGAAGAAATAGAGAAGAAAAAAAGAAAAAAGAAGAAAAAGGGACGGTCTTTGAAAACGAAATACACATGCATATACACACATCTCTTTCTCTCTCTCTCTCTCTCTCTCTCTCTCTCTCTCTCTCTCTCTTTGTGTCTGTTTTCTTCTTTCTTTATTTTTCTTTTGCTATTTTTTATATGGCCGTCTGCGTCTCTCTATCTCTCCTCCTAACAGTTCGCAGCAAAAGAAAAAAATGAAGAAAAAATGAAAACCAATTTTTAATATCAAAAAAAGTTATAGGAAGATGGAGAATCGGTTGGCAGGCACACAGAAGGAGAACTGATAAACTGACCTATTCTTTCTATTCCATTTGGAGCCACTACTGATATAATAATAAGAAGAAGGGGCTTGCAATCGAGTCAATACGTAACGAATGTGACATTTTTGATGCAATTGAGAATTTTACTTCCAAAAAATGAAGGAAATTGGATTTGGGGTGGATTTTGGAATTTTTAGAAGCCATTTTGAATATTCAAGGCTTCTTTTATCCACTTTTATAGTTTTATGAAAAAAAAAGAAAAAATTTAATTTTGAGGCGGATCACTAGAATCACAAAATCTGGTATTCACAAGAATCCAAACCTGAAATTGATGAATTTCATATAACCGGGAACTTCCGAAAACCGGAACCAACAAAAAGAAACAAATGATCCAATTGTTTCAAGTTTTTAAAGGTAGGGGATATGAAAAAATAAACTGCCTCGAACATTTTGTCATAAAAGCTTCTAGTAATTTTTTTCAAATTTATTTGTGGCACAAAATACTTTATTTCAATATTGTCTGATAGAACAAAAAATAATACGAATTTCTGTAAAAAACGAATAAAAACCGATACCTGGCAAGCGAGATACAGCGGTTTGAAGTTTACAAAGACGCAGACAGTTAGAGTGTCTCGTTGGCTGCGTCTCTCGCTTTCTGAACTTCAAACGCCTGTATCTCGGCTTCTAGAAGACCTAGAAACTTGGTTTTTGTGACAGAATTAATTGATTTGGTATCGATTTTTAGATTTCCGGACATCCAAAAAATGCAAATTTTTGAAAAAGGTCTTTCAAGATGACAGTGGATGAGTGTAGATTAAAACTAGTAATTTCACAAATAAAAAAAAGTAATTCAAAAAAATTCCAAAATCCCAGATAAGCTATTCTTACTATTTTAATTTTATGGAATGCAGAATCAAAAACACAAAAAATAATTAAAAGTTCAAAGTTCAACATTTTGCTACGATTTTTCAATTTATGAGGCTGAAAATCAGATTGAAAAATAGAAAAAAATCTTATTGAGAACAATTTCAAAATTAATTGATCTCACATTTTTTTCTAAAATTTTCAGAAACTATTAAAAAATGGCGTTTTCTTCCTTTCCTTCCCCCGCTTACTCGTTCTCTTTTTTTTCCCCAAAGAAACTCTAAAAATTGAGTTTTATCAACAGAGAAAAAACGTAGAAGCGCAAAAAGCCCCCAGTATTAAAACGAATATTTAAAGAACTGATAATGAGCATTTAGATGACGTTTTCCTTTTTTTTTCAAAAAACTTTTAAGCACACATTCCGTCTCAATACCAGTTTATGAAAATTAATTTTGATTGGTATTTCCGGTTTTGGAAATAAAAAGGATGTAAAACTAATTACTGTACATGCCCAATTACAACCACTTAATCGCATTCCTTTTATGACACGAGACCATTATTTTTGTGTATGGTGTTCTGATGGAAAAAAGGGTAAAAAGAAGAAGAAGAAGAGGAAAAGAGAGTGAACAATGGGAGTATCAAATAGTTTTGTGATTGTTGCGAAAGGGCGGGAACCAACAGTTTAGTTTTTTATGACTTACGTTTTGCAAAAGGAATCATTGGAACCAACTTTTAAAGGAACTTGTAATATTACTGTATCGAATAAAACATATCTAATCTTGACAACTTCAGTAAAGAAATTATAGACTGTGGAAATCATAAAAGCTATAAAGCTATAGTAGTTACTCTAATAAAAGCTGACCCTATACTTGCTCAATTATCTCAATTTCCATGGAAGATATAAACATTTCGTCGACAGATAAATTGATCATCACACTATCATCAAACTTTTATCAGTTGAATAATTGTGATATCTTTCAAAGGAAACGAGACGATTTTCCAGGGTTTCCCAATAAATAGTTTTCGACATTGATTTTCTATAATATTTTTTTGGAAAAACTGAAATTTCTGAACCTTCGGATTTTCAGATTTTTCCCACTAATTAGTTTTTTTTCCAGCGAAGCTCACCTGTATCTAACCGGAAAAGAAAATGTCGTTTAGAAAGCTTGTCAGAATTTTCTCTAAATTCATTTTTCTCTGAAAAGGATCATTTATAGAATCGAGTATAGGATTATTTGAAACAAAAGCGGCTACCTGCAACACTGGCTGAAACTCGAATTAAATCAATCTGGAAATGTGAGATTTACGCGAGTCTTCGAGTCTTGTAAAAGATCTTATTGTAAAAGATCTTCTTGTAAAAGATCTCAAATAACGTTTAAAGGCAAAAATGTTTGTCTTGAAATCAGCAACATTTTATTAGTTGACAAAATGTTTGAGACTCAAACAGGAAACGAGATAATTTGGGTCAAAGGAAGGATCTTTTTAAGGAGTATCACAGATTTTAAAAGTGAAAATTCACACGGTATTTTTCATGAGAAACGTAGATTTTTTTTTGAAAAGTAGGACATAAAAACGAAATTATTCAAAAACTAATTGATTTTCACTTCACGCGTTTTCGTGATCCGCGGCCGGCTCGGCTAGCCGCGGCTTTTCACGGCTTTCATAAAAAATCCGCGGCCGGCCTCGGCCTCAAAAATCGAGCCGCGGCTGAGGCCGGCCGCGGCCAGCCGCCTTTTTGCACAGCCTTGTTTCCAATCGTCTAATTTCGAATAAAATATATTTTTAAAACATAACCCAAAACTCAATTCTTCCTCAAAAAAATCGTTTGAAACTGGGGCACAAGTCAGCCGACGTGGATCGACGCGCAATTCAATCAACGTGGATTGTCCAGGGACCATCTGCCTCCTAAAACTTCCAGGCTCCCCATTGAGCCTAGTTCCCCTGTTATCTATCTCAAAAATGCATCGAATAACCTGGAATCGAAAATCCAAGCCATTTTTCTTCCGTATGCTTATCTATGGAGTCCTTTTTCAACTTTTCATTATGATGTTCGTCTTTAGATCTAGTTCTAAACTTGAAGGTATTCTTTGAAAATTTTGATTGGCATTTTGTTCAAGAAAAGAATTCAGAATCAGAATTCCGTGACTACGACCATGAGAACAACTACATGAATAAGTGTTCTCTTCCAGTTTACGATTTTTGGGATTCAAAAGTGATGAGATATGTGGATTATAACTACGACCCAACTAACAAATGTGATAAGAATTTCAAGCAGTATACGAAATTGGTCAATGGTAGCTGGGGGATTGTAGAAGAGAGGAAAGGAACAAATTGTTCAGCGAGGTTAGTTGAAATTCTCCATTTACTGCGATTGGTTCAATTATCTCTAGTTCCGTAAGAGATACGAAAAAGTCTGGAAGACAAACATTTTATCAGTTGACAGATTTTTTATATCTGCTATAGGAACCGTGATAATTGAGTCAAAGATCAAGTATAAATAGGCAGCGTTTTCCCTACAGTAATCCTTTCCATGTTCGGTTATTTTTCTCTACAGTATATCAAAGGCGGAGAGCACACCAACTGGGAGGAAAAGCAAAAGTGGGAACAACCATCTGGGAGGAAAAATGGGCGGAGCTTAATTTGCAACCCTGGCACGCTTTTGCCGCATGGTTTTTTTCTTGACCAGGTACCAAGTGGTAAAAATAAACCATGCGGCAAAACCGTGCCAGGGTTGCAAATTACGCCGCCAATTTTTCCTCCCAGATGGTTCTTCCCACTTTTTGTTTTCCTCCCAGTTGGTGTGCTCTCCTCAGTTGACCCAAAAACTGCAAAAAGTTTGGAACGCTTCACGAATTTGCGTGTCATCCTTGCGCAGGGGCCATGCTAATCTTCTCTGTATTGTTCCAATTTTAGTATATGTTCTCGGAAGAACAAATACTGGAGATGGGCGGTTCACTTATATAGGGGTATCTGGGAGAGCAGCCGACATCTCACGACTTGCGCCAACCACTATGCCTTGTACAGGGGATGGATGTGTGCTCCTGGGAAAGCTAGAAACCAAGGGGGCCCTGTTGTTGGACTCCAAGCATACTAGAAATACTAGACCAAATATAAGAAGGCAAAATATCCAAATCTCAAATATTACCCTTGTTATCCTTTTCCAGATGTATAGAAGGAATTGACGACTGGAATCTTCGACTCTCCGATTGGATGAAATCAGAAGCTGTAAACTGTGAATTCCTTGAGGCTGTCTGCTGGGAAGATGACACCGAAGTCTATGGATACATTCATACACAAATCATACCAAAGTGAACATAACAATAATTTGTTATTTGAAATCTAAAGTCATTCCAGACAGCCTACAACCCCGAAAACCTCAACAGATCAGCCAAGTGTTTTTGTATTTCTTTTTGATTCAATGAGCACTGGATCAGCAAAACGGTACAACAAACTTTTTTTGCGGAATCTCTTATTCTTTTTCCAGATCGTTCCCCAAAACCCTATCGCTCCTTTCTTCTCGTCTAGATTCTGTTGAATTCCCATTTGTAAACAAAGTTGGAGAGAACAGTATGCCGAATGGGTTTTCACTGTGGTTTGGTATGTCTTCCTGTTTGGTTGTGGCTACAGTTTTTTTTTCAGGAAAGTTATTAGAGCCAGTTCTTGGAAAGAACTACGGTGGGGTCGATGTAGAGGCGGATTGGAACTCAACGTCATATTGTTATACTCATTTGAACGGATCGATTTTTGGAGAGTTCGAAAAACATGGATACATGGTAAGTTAGGATTTGCGTAAATTAAATTGTGAAAATTTTCACAGACGCTTAATATCGACGACTGGAATGCACAAATGGTCAACTATCCGGACTGCAAAGGATTCAAAGATCCGCCCACTCATCACTACATGCATCCATTCTATATGGCTAACGATCAGTTTGCGACCAGTATCACCAAAAAGCACTTGAAGGGGAAGTTGTTGTGTAGAGAAGAACGACATCCAGCGTTTGAGTATTTTCAAGACTTTGTGAATACTTATAAAGGTTAGGAAGGCTGTAAGAAAAGCCTTCTGAATTGAAAAGTTTCTAGACAAACCAATGTTCACCTGGACGTGGATCAACACTGCTGGGCACGATGATTTCAACGGATTGATGAGAGTAGATAAAGAGATGGTGGAGATTATTGAGAAGAATATGGAGACGGTGAGATCCCTTATGTCCGGAAATTTCAATAAACATTAATTTCAGTTCGAAAACTCTTTCTTCATTTTCATGGGAGACCATGGATTCCGTATGGGAATGAAGAAGTTCATGGAGACTGCTATCGGCGGTGTAGAGATTAGCAACCCATACCTTTCGATTTCAATTCCAAAGAAGCTTCGAAAGGATCAATCAGTTTTGGAAATAATGAGAGAAAACTCCAAGAAACTCCAAACTCATTTTGACACTCGAGCCACTCTCTTGGATATTTTGAAGGTGATTCGTGGATTAGAAAACTCTTTGAAGACACTTTTTTCAGCACCAGCCATCGGCATCGTTCACGGATCGGTCCCTTTTGGAAATTCCTGGGGAAAGAGGAAACTCTTATCTTCGTCATCAACCAGCATTTCCAAGAACATGTGGGAGCCTTCCAATTCCACCGGAATACTGTATCTGTCAAATAGAGAAAACTCCAGTTACAGAGTATGTCATTTTTTCTAATAATCAATGGAGCGCGTCTGAATGGTTTTTTTTTCCAGTGAGAACCTCCGGGAGCGATTTGGACACATGCTCATCGACCATATTCATGACATGTTGGACCATTCAAACTATACATGGATGTGTGAGAAATACAAGTTCAGAGAGACTATATCTTTTTTCCACTATGGTCGTGCCAATAAGTCTGATTCCCCAAATAACTACGAGATTACTGTAATTGCCGATTTTCCAAGTTATGCTCAATTTCGGGCAATCTTGGCACATGATAAGAAAGCAAGCCATGTGTCATTTGGAAACATTGTGAGATTGGACAGATACTTAAAAACTGGAAGCTGTACGAATAATAGTAAATTTGAGAAAATGTGTTTTTGTAAAAGTTTGACATGGACCGAGAGATGGACGTATCTAGTGGATAAGAAAATGAGAGAGATGGATGACACACTAGGATATTATTTTCCTTTTTTACTTTCTTGATTTGTTCTTTTTTCAATAAAATTGTTGATTCGTGAAAACTCGAAGAACATTCAGATGCGTTGAGCTTTAAATTTTCATATTATGAGCTCACGACCTAAAGTAAAATATTACGACACTATTTACCATTTAGAATCTAAACAAGTCAAAAATATTTCGATTATTTTTTCTTACAGTAATCCTTTCACTTTTCCAAAATTTCTCCCTGCAGTAATCATTTTCATTTTCGTATATTTTTCCCTACAGCAATATTTTTCATTTGTGATTAGATTTCCCTACAGTAATCCTTTTATTTTTTTTTCGTTCATTTCCCCTACAGTAATCCTTCTCATTCCCGATTGTTTTCCTATTTACAGTAATCCTTTTTCGGTTTCTCTAAAAATTTAGGTCAAAAGTCGCAAAAAATTCGGAACGCTTCACGAATTTGCGTGTCATCCTTGCGCAGGGGCCGTGCTAATCTTCTCTGTATTGTTCCAATTTTAGTATATGTTCTCGGAAGAACGAATACACGAAACGGGCGGTTTTTTATACGTATAGGGGTATCTGGGAGAGCAGTCGACATCTCACGAAAGGATAGTTTCCAAATCAAGACATTGAAAATTAGATCGATAAGATTTCACAAAATTGTTACCAAAACTTTTTTGGCTTCCCGTGAACCTGACTTTTTCTTGAGCTATTTTCTTCCTCTCACGTGCCCGATCCGCTCAAATATTGACCTGACGAATCAATCAGGGATTCAACGATAAGCCTTGTAGCCATCTGCATCACAACTTTCTGAAGGGAGCCCTCCCCATTTTCAATCAACCGAAAACCGAAAAAGTTTAAAGGATCAAACATGTCACTGAAAAAAGAATCGCCTGTGACCATTCTACAAGCAATCATCTTCATTCAATTCGGTCTGAGCTTCTCGATCACTATCCTCACAACCATCGGAATTGCATTCGGGTATCCAGTAGCTTCACATTATCTGTTGGCTCTTCTTCAAGTGATCGTTGCCGTTCCTGGTATCGTCTACATTGCTCTTCAAGGAAATAGTAAGGAAATTGGGGAGAGAAGATTTCATAGAGTTTGTAGTAAGATTCAGGGGCAGGAGCTGTCTTTCTATAATCGATTTCTGTAACGATTCTATTATCATTCTTGCAGTCTGGATCGCAGTATACATCAGTTTCCAACTGGTGACTGCTTCGTGTGAGATCTACTGGTTGATCTACATGATTTTCGACAAACAGTCTGCCGGTGCCTGGCTTGTACTCGCTTGTCTAACTTTTGTGAATATCGTGGCAGTTGTGATTGCGATATGGTTCCGTCAGACTGTTCTCAAGGTTCCATGCAAGAAGAATAATAAGATCGGAGCAAAGGATTTGGATATGAAAAGTGAGAAACCGGATATGAAAGGTTTTTTTGAATGAAGATTTAGAGAATCAAGTATTTATGAATTTCCAGTTCCGTCCACCTCAATGAGCGAAGTGGAGAAATCAAAAGGTGCTTCTTCCAAATCGAAATCGACCTCTTCGATCAAAAAGCCTCCATCTCGTTCCATGGAAAGATCGGATATGAGTGAGAAGTCATCGAAAGGAAGTCTGAAAGTTCGAAAAACCAAAAAGAGCAGCTCTCCATCAATGCCATTGGATAGTCGTGAAACGACTTCTCTCTCCAGATCCTCTTCGAAAACTGCTGATTGATTTTTCATATTCCTTTATTTCTCTTTTCTAAATGTTTATAAATAAAGTATTCTTGTGTAGAATTGTTTGATATTTTCTGGTTCTTGGAGGTTCGAATTTTCAGAAATTCCAGATTTTTAAAATTTTGAGAATTTTTCAAAAATTTTGGAATTCCGGTTTTTTGAAAATTTCGATTTTTTAGAATGTTGGAACAATTTTAGCTCATTTCAAACGATTTTAAATAGATAATTTAAATAGATTTTTAGACCAATCTCAGTAATTTTCAGACTTTTTTCACCCCGATATTTTCGATTTTAAATACTAAACTTTTTTTCAAAATTTCAACTTTTTCGATGAGTCAAAAGCTTTGGAATTTTTTCTGAAATTTGAAACTTTCGGACGTTTTTTCGAAAAATTTTGACAGAACTTTTTACCTCAAGGAGCCAGTTGGCTCAGTCTACAGGACTAGAACACAGTTGCTCACAAAATCGAATATAATTTCAACTCTTCTTTATATAAAGATCAAAATTGTGGCGCCTAAAGAGACAATACGAAAAAAAGTAGATTTTCAATTATTAATTATAACAAAAAGGGATATTAGCACATCTACAGCGAATCACGAGAAAAGAAAAAAAAAGAGAAATCGAGGATTACTTGAAGTTATAAAAAAGAGAGGGGCGTGGTGGATGATGATGAGATAAACCCGGGAAAGGACAAGAAAACACATTCAGAAATGGTTCGGGGAAGATATAATCGAGCTAGATGAATCTGGAATGACATGGCATAGATTTGAAAAATAAAATTCTAAGATATGAAAAATACGACTATTATCAACGGGGACAACGGGATTGGGGTGACAAGAAAGCGGGTTGGGGAGAAAATATCGCAGTTTTGTTGGAAAATGTATAACCCGTGTATTTGAAAGTTATAGTATTAGAATAGAGATATATGATGATGTGAAAAAGATTGACTAGTGCTTGCGGTGTTTTTCCTGAAAATAAAGAATTCAAATTCTCGTTCTTTAATATCTAAAATACCTTTTGGTGATCTCTGTGATGATCCCTGCTCGTTCCTTCTCTATGGTCTTTTCTTTTCTCTGGTCGATGGTTCTTCTCTTTAGATTCCTTTGGCTGCTTCTCTTCCTTACTCTTATGATGATGGTGATGATGGTGATGATTTTTATGCTTATCCGAAGTGATTTGTCTGTATCTATCAGCCATCTCTCCAGGCTCTCTCAGAGTGAACTTGGACAGGAATATCCACAAATAGTTGTACCACTTTCGGATATTCGTCTTTGGCTTCTTCTTCAACAACGTCTCCAGATTAGCCAGGAACGAGTCACCTAGTCGAGTAAGGTACTTGGTTTCATCTTCCTTATTTTTCGTTTCTTGAGCCTCTTTCAGCTTCTTCATGTACTTGTGAACGGGCATACACAGTTTCACGCATTCTGAAACATTTAGAAATGATTTTTCGAATTAATTTCATTGGATATGTTACCTAGGAATGGTTTTGCACTGCTATCCTCGAGAACACCTCCATAAAGAGACTTGTCAATCGTGAGAACAGAAAGCTGGTCTTTGAGACTACTTCTGCTTTTATCCTCACTCTTTTCCTTCTTCTCCTTCTTTTTGTGATCTGCATCTGGTGCCACGTTGTTGGTATGTTTCTTCTTCTGAAACTAAAATGTTTATCATTTATCACAATCAAATGAGATTTACCTTATCTGGTGCCCCTGAAGGTGTGTCATCGGCTTTTCGCTTCCTATCCTTCTTCTCTGGACCCTTCTTCTTATCTTTGGCCATCAACTTCAACAAGTAATCCACTCGAACTTGCAAATTCTTTCCTTGTGGCTTTTTGGTTTTATCCTTGATGAAAATCTTGTCAGCCAAGCCAAGTGATGGATCCATTTTTATCGCTTCCCAGCTACCGTATCCGTACTTCCAGACACCCCAGAGAAGTGCACCATCATCGTCCCACTTCCATTCAACATCCCATCCTTTTTGTGGTTTCGCGTTCATCGGTGGTTTGAATGACGTCTTCTTGTCCACGGATTTGAGAGCTTCGTGAAGAGGTTTGAGTTCCGCATGACTCCGTTCGATCTGCTTCAAGTTGACATCGCAGGTTTGGAATTTGAATTTGCGATCGGCATCCTGCAAGAAATAAGAATTAGAAAACTACATGCAGAAAATGGATGAGCTCACCTTTTCTTTCTTGTCAGCTCCTTCTGCTGAACTACTCGCAGCTCTTCCATTCTTCTCTGCACTATCGAACTCATCGGCCGCCTTTTTGCACGCCTCAGTCAAACTCTCAACGAGCTTCATTACCTCCTCAGTGCTGTGTTCTTCGAGTTCCGCGTCTTGAGCGATTTCCTCGAGTCTGAGAATATAAAGATAAAAAATGGTTGGATAGAGAGATGTGTGTGTGTGTGATTGGAGGGAGAGAAATAAGGGGTAAATGAGAGAACCTTGGGAAAAGTTACAACTCTCTGGCACAACTGACTTCGCTCTAACCAAACTAAAGAAAATAAAGAAAAAGGAGAAAAAGAAGAACAAAGGTCAACAGAGAGGAACAGCAAGCAACATCACGTACCTTTCAAGAGGCATTGAAAACTTCCGGAATGCGCGAATGAATCGTTTGATTTCAGCCACAGTGAAACTTCCAATCTTCTTCTTTGACTTCTTTTTCCCACCGTCCTCTTCATCATCGTCATCATCTCCATCTTCACCATCTTCCACCACCTGGGGCATCGGTTGCTTCCTCTGTCGTGGCGCCAAATTCATCTCAGCCAGCTCCTTCATCCTCTCCTCTTCCAGAATCCGATTCCTATCCTCTTCTGGAATAATCGCTGCCCATTCATCTGTCGCAGCCGCGATGTCTTTCTCCTCATCAATAGCAAAGTTGGCGTATTTGAAAGAACTCAAAAGTTCATTTTCTTTCAGAACCTCTTCCTCAGCTTCGCGTGTTTCAGCTCCCATCAGGATTCGGTCAATGTCGACTTCCGGCTCCTGCTCTTCTCCTTCTTTTTCCTTGAACAGTTCGACAGCACCAAACTTCAAAATCGCGCTGAGCTCTTGTTTGTCGAAAGGAACGCTTCCACTAGCAGTTGCGTTTTTGGAGAGAACTGTTTTTCCAGTAGTGTCCATTCGTTGAATCACCAAATGATCCAGAACCAGTTTCCTTTTGGCTCTTTCCACAATTTCCTCTTCAACGGATCCTTTCGTGACGAGACGGTAGATGTTGACAGTTTTGGTCTGACCAATACGATGGGCACGAGACATTGCTTGCAGATCGTTCTGAGGATTCCAGTCAGAATCGAAAATGATCACAGTGTCAGCAGTAGCCAAATTGATTCCCAATCCTCCTGCCCTCGTCGATAGGAGGAATGCAAAATCCGTGGATCCGGGTGCATTGTAATGATCCAATGCCTGCTTCCTCAAATCAGCTCTCATGGATCCATCCAATCGTTGTGAGGGGAACCTTCGAAGCTGGAGGTATTCTTGAAGGATGTCGAGCATCATGACCATTTGAGAGAAGATCAACACTCGATGTCCTTTGTCTCTCAGCCGACACAGAAGTTTGTCAAGAAGGATCAGTTTTCCAGATGACTTCAGAAGTTGTTGCAGTCTTCCTTGGGCATCGTCATAGATGTAATCGTACTGTCTCGTCAGGGAAGCATGATTACAACACTTCTTCAATTCCATCACCAAATTCACAAATCCATTGATTGATCCTTTGACTCCTTTCGACAATTCCCGATAGTTCTTTGTCAGAATCCACTTGTAAAACTGCTTCTGATGAGCGGTCATGTCCACTCTCAGAATCTGTTCTGTCTTCGGCGGCAACGACTTCTCCACATCTTTCTTGACACGTCTCAACAAGAACGGTTCGAGTTTCTTGTGAAGCGCCGAGATTCCTTTATGATTTGATTCATTGTGAGCCGTCTCGAATTCCTCCCAGCAATCAAACTTTTCAGGCATAATGAAGTGGAGGAGCGCCCACAGCTCTTTGAGAGAATTCTGAAGTGGTGTTCCAGTGATGAGGAGTTTGTGATTGAATCGGAACTGAATCAAGCACTTGTAGAGAAGAGATTCGTCATTTTTCAGGCGATGAGCTTCGTCGACAAGAAGTGCTGCCCAATCGACAGATGATAGGAAGGCTTTGTCTTTGAGAAGAATCTCATAAGTTGTTAGAATCGCATTGACTTTCATTTTCTTGGTTCCTCCAACGAACCATTCGTATTGCCGAATCATGTCTCTGGACACCACATCACCCATGTAAATAATCAGATTGATATCTGGAGCCCATTGAGCAAACTCCTTCTGCCATGCAGCCATAGTGGAAAGTGGGACGACTACAAGATAGGGCCCAGCAAGGTCGTAACGATGGAAAAGAGAAGCAAGAAGCGAAATCGATTGGATCGTTTTTCCCAATCCCATCTCGTCGGCCAAAATTGAACTGTTTCCTTTGCACCAAGCATATATCATCCAGTTGAGACCTTCGAGTTGATAGTCACGAAGTTTGTGGTCTCCATTGGTTTTCAGGTAATCTGGTTGGGACTCGAGTTTTTCGAATTTCGGACGCTTCCGGAGCACCTAGAAGCAAAATTAATATCAACTGTTTTCTCCTTTTTCTCATTACCGTAGCATTTTTATTAGGTGGTTTCAGATTTTCGACCCGATGATAGTAACCTTGTATTTGATCGGGCGCAACCATCTTCTCATCTTCCCACGTACAATCCGCATATGGTAATCCGGACCACTTGATCAGAAATTCCGTAGCAAATGATCCATCTGGAGCACGGTCCCGGGAAGTCTGATGTGCCACCACCCGTTCCACCTTTTTGTATTCTTCACAGAGTTCCTCAGCCATTTGTTGCTCACATTCGTAGAATTCAATGTACTCTTTGTCAGCCGACCGTTTCCACATCTCCACTTCTTTTTGCTTCTTCACATAATTCTGAACTTTCTTTATTCCTTTTGCATGCATTATCGTCAACGAGTTCTCGGATTCCCATGTGTTATGTAGATGACTCCATCCTGTCCATTTCACAAAGAACTGCTTTTCAGTCTTCTCAACTGGCTGCTCATTAGGATCTCCCTTCTCCGCCACGTTGTAACAAGTTGTACCGGATCCAGTTGCTCCAGGAACTCCGATCCTCCATTTGATAACACGTTCGACGGTTTCGGTTAACACCGCTGGTCCCTCGACGGGTACTGCTGGTCCTTCATCCCATTCCAGGACGTCGTCGTCGTCAATCTGAAAGTATGCAATGGAAAATAACAAAGGCTCAAAATACACTTACATCCTCATCTGAATTCTTCTCAACGTAACTGACATTTCCCTTCACTGATTTCCTTTTAATCACTGATTGGACAACTTTCTTCACAACGGTTTTCTTAACAGCACTCCGCCTTGACGACTTCTTTTTTCTACCACCATCATCCCATTCGTCGTCGTCCGAAGATTCAGATTCCCCCGACTTTTCACTAACCGACTCCTCCGTACGTTTCGAACGTTGTGAGCGGCGAAAATAGTTTTCTTCTTCGAGTAGCTGAAATTAAATTCTGAAAATAAGATCCTTGTTAATGAGAGATTCACCTTTCTGGTCTCCGCATCCATCCCCCGACTATTATTGACTTTCTTCTTCGGAGCTGGTTCATCTGCTTCTGAGTTTGAGGAATCTCCACTGGACTCTTCACTGTCATCACTTTGTTCTGACGTACTGTCCGGAGACTTCTCTGCTGAAAATTAGGTCATTTTCTTCTTTTTGCTGACTTTTGCATCATCATCCTCTCCCAAAAGATATAACTTACCTTTTGCCTCGTTCTCGTAATCACTGTCTTCTTCTTCCTTCTCTTCACTTGACCCAGATCCGGAACTGACACCTTCTTCAATAACCTTAGTTTTTCTCATCGGCTCATCTGACTTCTCATCTGAGTCCGCATCACTTCCAGATGATGATTCAGACTGATTCCACATCCCTACAATCAACTATTTTTAAAACAGTAATTGAGTCAAAACTACAGTAAGACGGGAGCTATAGATCAGAACTTTATTCTTTGAAGACCGCCTGGAAATTTTTTCGTCAAAAAATTTATTGAATTTATAGATTGCAGAAAGATTTAAGAATAAAAACTTTTTATTGGAATCAAAAACACTTTTCCAGTCAGCAATGAGCGAAAAATTACAGATACAAAAAGAAAATCTTATAAAAAATCTGACGTCTTCTGAATCGATTTTTCCTTTTGCCAAAATGTGAATCAGAATCAGAAGTATCATAATAAATTAAAAATAAGTCAATTAACTTTCTAGTTTTGATTTTTGACCGATTTATTGCTGAATTTAAATTAAAAGCGGGTCAAAAAATCAATATTTTTAGGGCCTATTTCGGGCGGTTCACATGGACATTTCATCTGAATTGGTGCTGAAATAGACTCTAATTGAACTGGTACATCTTCAGGATTTTTCAGAATTCAAAAAAGTGGTCTGGGTGCCGAGAAAACGGGCCAAGAAGAGATGCGCACTTCAAAAAACTGGGAATTTAGAAGACTTGAACACCTCAGTAGGCCGCGACGCGACCGCTCGCGATCAAGAGTGCTCGTTTCTTCTCGCGCGAATTCCAAATAGTATTTTAGATAGAAAATGCCTCTCTTTGCTGTATATTTTCATGTACTTGTGTAGAAAAAGTCGAAGTCCAGTGACCAGAAGGTTTATTAAAGGAATAGACGATAGATACGTCCGAATCAAGGCACCAAACGGTCCTTTTTACATCATAAAACAAGAAAAGAAACCGTGAGAACAACCGTCGAATAAAACTTCGATTTGGGGACCCTATTCGAAGTAGCAAACAATAAATAAATAAATTACAAAAAACAAGGAGGGAATTGATAAAAGATCTGCTATGATAATTACTCAAATTACAGCTCGGTGTGCTTCTTCTTCTTTCCGTCACGGCTGAATCCTTTGAGTCCATCAGTTGAGTGCTTCGAGATGAAGTTGACAAAGTCTTTCACTTCACGTCCTCCATTGTATGGGATTGGGTTCGATTTTGCGTTCTTTGGAAGCCAGAAGAGGGTTGGGAATCTGGAAAAAAAATAGATTATACATGTTCAGAAATATTTTTATCATCAACATACCCTCTAACTTCGAAAAGTGGTGGCACATCGTTGGCGGTGGCGTCCATCTTAGCAATGATCACATCTTCCTTGTTGAGCTGAAAAAAAATCATTCCAGTGATGAACTCATTACTCTTAATTGTGCATTAACTGAATTGTATTAAGTTATTACCTTTTGGGCGAGCTCCTCGTACTTTGGAGCCAAAGATTTGCAGTGTCCGCACCACGGAGCATAGAACTCAATGAGAACATCTTTGTCAGCATCCATGATAAGTTGCTTGAAGTTCTTTCCAACAGCAACCTTGACATCTCCTTGCTCATCTGGGATAGGCTCAGACTTCATGTATGGCTCAGCATTTCCAGCGAGAACTTCGTCAACAAATTGTTGGAGGTTGTCCATGCTGAAAAACATGTTTTGAAAGCACGTTCCTATTTCCGTATCCTAAACGCTCCCGATTCAAACCACTAACCTGAATTCTTGATCCATTGGGAACTTTCCTTCGTTAGTGAGGACGGCAACAATTGGTTTGTCGGAATCCTTGCGCTCTCCAAGTCCGTTAGTCTCGATTTCAGAAGAAAATTCTTCCTTGTTGGAAACAGCGAATTGAACCTTTCTCTTGTAGTTTTGAGCAACCTTGAGAACACGATTACGCCAGTAGTTTGATCCCTTTGGATCCTTGACGTAGTCAACATTGTAGTAAACAATGACGATTGGCTTCTGCTCGAATTGGAACAAGTTTCCTTGGGTACGAATTCCAGCAAGTCCAACAGTTTCGTGGACCAAGAAGTTCTTAATCTTATCAGTGTCGTAGTTTCCGTCGTACTTGAACTCATTGGTATCGAACTTGTTGTGAAGCTTCTTTGGAACAAAGACAACAACGTCATCGGAGTATCCGGCCTTCTTGATGATGTCCTTGTTGGAAGTGTGAGCGAAAGCGAAACGATCACGCTCAGTATCAGCAACCTTGAGGAATGAGTCCTTCAGCTTGCTCTCGCTTTCGAAGAATCCTGAAGCACAACGTTAAAAAAAATTCATTGATATATTCAAGCTTACCAACAACAACATTCTCGTCTCCTCCAGTGAACTTCTCGAACTCGTCAACAGTCTTCAATTCCTTGGATGATGGTCCAGATTGTCCACGCATGAACTTAACGATACCGTCAGCATCACGTGGTCCATCATAGTCTTGAGCTGGGGATCCGTTGCGGAAGATCTTCAAGGTTGGGAATCCCTTGACTCCGAATTTATCGCAAACGGTCTTCTCGGTGGTACAATCGACCTGAAAGAAAATCAAAATAGAGGTTGAAAACTCTCGTGCCACGTCATAAAAACCCACTGGATAGTTGTTACTCATCCGAAACTACTGAATAACTGAATGTTCGCTTAATGAAATACCAATATGGTAATTCTGCCAATGTGATCTATTTGAAATCAAAAGAGCGCCCAAGGTGCACCAGCTCCGCTATACATGGGGAAATTTGAGATTTTTTGAGGTCGCGAAAATTGTTTTTTTTTTGTGATTCGGCTCACAAAATAATATTTTTACATTAAGCCGAGACCATAAAAATAGTGGTATCAAAATGCGATCACAGAAATGCAACGCTATTTCTCTCATTTGCGAGCACAGTTGTCCATCACAATATCCGTAAAACCAAGATCTATGAATAAGCAAGTGCATCGTGGAATCGCGAAACTAGTTCATGCGCTCGAAAAAAACGCCACGAGCTGCCCATTAATTCGAAAACCCGCAATTCTAACAGGCTCTATTTCCCTAATCCAGAGCGATTTTGCACAAGCCAACTTCCTGAACAGAAGAGACCCCGCAAATTCCGGGGAGAAAATTTTCAGGGGAAAAGTGGGCGGAGCTTAAATTGCAACCTGGCACGGTTTTTTGCACATTTGGACACGGTCATGGTGGGGCGGAGCCTAAATTGCAACCCTGGCACGGTTTTGCCGCACGTTTTTTCTCGACACCGCCCACTTTTCTCCGGAAGTCTCCCCGGAATTTGCGGGGTCTCTCCTGAACACCAACTGAAATTGTGCTGCAGGTGAAAAATTTGTCAAATCTGCCGCATTTTAAGTAGCTTCAGAGAAAAAGGGCGCAACGCAGGGCGACGCTGCGAAGCTCAGCTGGACCAGAACGACACCAGTGTTCCCTCATTTGACCAACCCCGTTTTCCTTTTTCTAGGAAATTGTTCCAAGGCAGAACTGACATCTACTTTCGTGGCAAGTGATCGAAAATGAAATTCTTAAACTGCGAATTTTACATTAAAATTTATGCGATAAGTTTTCTGATTAAAAAATAACTTTCATGGCCATATTGGTTACTATTCTAAAACCATTCTAGAATAATTTACTTGATTCGGCGGGAAAAAAAGAACATACCGGAATTGAACTTGAGACTGCAATCCTATTAATTCATACCTATACATAAGTGAGAATTAGAGATTTTTCGAGGTCGCGAAAAAATAAGTTAGCTTTGTTAAGTCACCTCACCATTTGGTAATTACAGGGTGAAACTAGTACGAAAAAATACTGGTGATAAATTCGAGTTTGAAAAATTAATTTTTCTAATTACTTAGGCCGCAATTAAGAAAAATGGCCTAAATATTTTGTAAACCTCATGTATGTTGAGACTACAGCAACTGCTGAAATCTATACTTTTCGTGCAAAGATTTCCGCATACACTAGGTAATTTGCAAAATTCGAGCAATTTTTCGAATTGCAAGTTCCCTAACGTTTTAAGGAGCAGTTTTTTAACTCCCATTTTCAAACTAAACTGCAAAAAACCAGTTTTCTCAAAATAGCGCAATAACCGTTTTCTCGAAAGTCGTTCTTGTATGCTCGGTATTGTTTTACCCAAAGAAATCCTTCTATCGGCAGAGTTACAAAAAAAATATTTTTCACGACCTCAAAAAAAAAATTGTTTTAAACGTTTCCCAATACTCAAGAAAAGCGTTGCGAGCATACTTGTAACGGGCCGGGCTTTTTCCGGAATTTCGGAGGCCCGGCGGGCCCGTCATTTCACTAGTTTCGAAACTTTCAAAAAACACATAAGGGGGGACCCTTATGTGATTTTTTTCGACCAAAAAATTTTTTTGCGAGTTTTTCGATCTTTTTTGATCAGACAGACAAACAATCCGAAATACGAAAAAAAATGGAAAAAAAATTATATTGAGCTCAAAATTTGGCTCAAAAATACAGAATTTTTGACACCGGGCCTTGAAAATTTCCTCAGGCCCGGTCCGGAATTTTACAAGTATGGTTGCGAGGTCATAACCCATCTCAGCTGTTATGTAACTTTCGTTTCCAAGATTTCACTCTGATTTGACCATCCATATCTTTTAGGGAAATTTTAATGTGCATGGTCAAATAAGCCATTTGTTAATTAACAAATGTTATAACTATCTTCATTACGGAATCTTCAACTGGCAATTGTGTATGTGTTTGTGTTGAAGATTGATTACAACTCGTGATGTTTTCGACCTAGTTCTCGATCTTATCACTAATTACTTCTTCGTCGTGGGAGCGAGATGATAGGTACAGCAAACAATTGGTGTACGTGGCAATGACAACTCGATTCACCACTTCAAACACAGTATATTAGGCATGAAGCACATGTTTCAATATGCATGCCCAAATGTACAATGGCACAAAGGGTCTTTTGTATTTGCATTCATCGTATTCAAATCGGTTCCCCAAACTGTTTTATCAGCTTTCGCTGTTTGCCAAATACTGCACCGCACCGATCCATATACGGAGAGCTGTGCAAATAGAATTTTATCTTACCTTAATGAGGGCAACTGGTGGGTCGTTGGAAGCAAGCTTTGGAGCAGCCTTCTCGTATTCTGGAGCCATCTTCTTACAATGTCCGCACCATGGAGCGTAGAACTTTACAAGGGCGATATCATGTGTCTGGATGAGATCTTCGAAGTTTCCATCAGTGTATTCGAGAACGGCTCCTCCAGCGCTGGCGAAAGCCAGGAGGGAGGCGACCAAAGCTGCCTGTACCCAAATCATTACCTGAAAAAGCGAAAGTATGAAAATTTTGCATTCGATTACTAAAAAGAAAAAGAAGAACACACAGCACACGAGCATTTAAATTTGAAACACAGAATAGCAAGGGTAGCCGGAGACGCTTAACCGGGATAAAAATTCAAATTCTGAGAGAACGAAGAAACGAATGGCTCCATGGGAAAAAAAAACAACTGCGCCCGCGCTCGCGACACAATTATGTGCCGCCACTCGCGTTGCGTGTTTTCGTGATGAAATACTGGGAGCGAGAAAAATCAATGATCCTTTATTCTACTGATTTATTTGTAGAATTAGGGCGAAAAGACAGATAAAGTCGATAGAGGCAATGAAACTCGGAATAAAATGGTGTGAAATATGAACGGTGCTTGCGAGAGTCTATGCATAACGCTGATCCTAAAAATTATACGGATGTGTCAGTTGAAAAGTGCACTTGGCCTTTCATTCTGTAATTATATGTTTCATAAAGCTTCAAAATATCGAGCTCTAGCAATCAAGAAATACTTTTTAGAGGCAAAAGTCCACGTGGCAGTAGTGTGTACATCAGGGATTGGTAACAACTGAGCCAAAAACACGTCGTCTCGGGAACTAAACGCGCGTGTTGTTTGCCGATTGGACGCTTTTTCCGCTGTCTCCGCCCATTGGGTCTCGCATGGAAGAGACGTCAGCTTGTGTCGATTTACGCCGTAATTCGAGTCACTTTTATTGATCAATGATTTTTTATTCGTTGAACGCAGAGACATCATGGAAAATACCGCTACATTGAAAAATCGATTAGAACCCTTGCGCATAGTTTTCTCATGACGCTCCTCTCTTCATTGCAAACATCGGATGACTACAAATAGTGTTGGAAGACAACATCTCCATGGAAACCGCTTTAGCCGTCTCTGTTTTTCGCGCAACTGAGCTAATAAAAACACCCTAGACTCGATCCCACTGGAAATGTGCTTTGTGAAGAGCCATTGTCTGCGCTCACTATTGCGAAACCTGCCGCATGCTAGAAAATTCTAGATGATTCTCTTCAATATGACGTTTACTTTTTTCTCTCTCATTCTATTTCTTCGTTCCTTTTTGTCTCATATATTTCTTCTCAATTCACTGTATTCCAGATGGCCACCGAGGGTGCACTCATCAAGGTAACTGTCAAATCCCCATCTCAACGATTCGATGTGGAGATTTCTCCAAGTGCCTCAATCTCTGAATTGAAAGACAAAGTTCTCCTTTCGGTGCCAACTGCCAACAAGGAACAAATATGCATAATTTATACTGGTAAAATTCTGAAAGACGACGAAACCCTTGTTCAGAACAGTAAGTTTTTGACGAAAAAAAAACAAAAATTTCATAAATCTGTCTGTTCTAGAAATCTCTGACGGTCACACTGTTCACTTGGTAGTTAGAAATCAAAATCGTCCAGCAGGACCTGCATCAAGTCCTGCAGCCGCTTCCACTGCTCCACCACCTTCTAGTCAACCATCCGCCGCTCCACCACCATCTGGAAATCCGTTTGGTGGATTCGGAACAATGGGAGGAGCATCGCCAGCCGATATTCTCAACAATCCGGATGCCGTGCGGAGCGTTATGGATAACCCAATTACTCAGCAGCTTCTCAGCAACCCAGAGTTCATGCGAACCATCATTCAATCGAATCCAGGTTTCCAGGAGATGATCGAGGTGATATATTTCATTAATTTGAAAAAAAACGTATATTTAAATTTGCAGAGTAACCCAGAAGTTGGTCATATTCTGAACGATCCAAATATCATGCGCCAGACGATGGAGATGATTCGCAATCCTAATATGTTTCAAGAGATGATGCGTAATCACGATCAGGCAATTAGAAACTTGCAGGTTTGTATATTTTCTACCCTTTTACCTTAATTGAAAATTTCAAATCAGTAACAAATATGATTTCCAGGGAATTCCCGGCGGAGAAGCTGCACTTGAGCGTCTCTACAACGATGTTCAAGAACCACTCATGAATAGTGCATCTAACTCGCTCAGAGGAAATCCATTCGCGTCTTTGAGAGGTCAACAATCGAACGAACCACGTGTCGATCGTGCCGGACAGGAAAATAATGAGGCTCTTCCAAATCCATGGGCTTCCAACAACAGCAGTTCAAACAACGCGTCGAACAATAGATCGGCTGATTTTAATTGTAAGTGTTTGAGGTTATAAGAAATTGATTACACTGTCAGTCGACCAACTTTCAGCAATGATGGATTCTCCCGGATTCGGATCGCTTATGGAACAGATGATGTCGAATCCAAGCATGCAGGCTAGCATGTTCAGTCCAGAAGTTGTAAACTCGATTCGCCAGAGTATGACTAACAATCCAGCACTAATAGATGCGGTTCGTACGAAAAGTATATTATTTTTCAACGCAGTAATTTCTAGGTTATCGGATCTATGCCAACAGCTCGTGACAATCCACAAATCACCGAGAGTATCCGCCGAAACTTCCCACAAATGCTCTCCATGATGTCCGATCCATCGGTGATGCAAGCTATGCAAAATCCACGTGTCAGTCAGGCTTTCCGTCAGATTCAAGACGGATTCGCCACATTGAGGCAAGAGGCTCCCCAGCTGCTGAACATGTTCCACGCACAAGCGGGACCTGGAATGGACCAGTTGTTCGGGAATGCAGCTGCCAATGCTGCCGCTGGAACCACGGGAACTCCGTCCGCTGCTTCAACTGCTGCAGGTGGTGTTGGAAATGGAATGAGTGGTCTTGCTGATTTGATCAGGCACATGAATATGGGTGGACGGGTGAGTAGTTTCCCTTCATTAAAAGTTAGAGATCGTTAATTGTATGAGCTGCAGCGAAAATTTGTGTTCTGAGGGTCTGATTTTTGGCAGTTCTTGAAATATTTCAACTTGTTCTCAAGGCTTTGGAATATCGTGAACCATAGAATACCGTACACCTTCAAACCCCCTTTGTAGAGCACAGATTCAACCTACAGTTATCTCCATAGTTTTTCTCCGAATCCCTTCTTTCTGAAATTCTATTTTGGCTGTTTTCCAACTCGTTGCCATCATCATCAACTCATTTCTGTTGAAAAGTCAGCAGCCCCAAATGAAGTTCCTTTCCCCTCACTCTCTTTTCATTTCATATATCAACGTTTTTGCTCAAATTTAGAAGCTGATGAGTTGTCTTCTGTCGAGTCACTCTGTGACATCGGCCGACGGAAGTGCCGCCGCCTCGCCAAGATAGAGTCTGTTCTGAATAATGTAACAAGACGACGATGTCTTGTGCTTTTCATCGCGCGGCGTCTTGTTTGACATGCTATGGATAAATGTTAGATAATGAGTATAAAGTGACGACGACAACTATGAGGAAGAGAGAGAGAGGAATCGAAAATCGTTTTCTGTTTGCTCTCAGAAAATGCAATTATCATATCGAATTTCTTTCTTGTCCCATCTTTCTCCGGCTGCTTCTTGTTTCTTTTTCAGAGTCTTATGATGATTTCCCCAGAATTCATATAAGCCCATTGAAGTATGTGGAGAAGAAGAAACAGAAGATGTGTGGGAAATAGAGACAGTACTATTCATCATCGGTGAAGCTCCTTTTCGGAAAGTCCCTTCCCAATTCATTTTTGATGATTTTCATCAATGTGCGAAGAAACGAAACGAAAAAATATTTTCAATTGGCAACACACAAAGGCAATAATTTCTCAGACGACGTCTTCTCTTTGCATCGGATGTGTGTAGAGAAGAGGGTCTCTTATCCATACGAATAGATCAGATTTTTCAATTTTGCGATTCTTTCCTGGACTCTTGCACTCTTCTCATACACATTGTTGGGCACACATCCATACACACATGTTATATGTTATATGCCCGTGTTTCCATTTTTCGATTAATTTTCGTTTTCAATGCCAAAACGTGTGTGTGTGTGTCTTTATGGATGAGTGTGTGTCGCCTTTCACATAAAATGATATAAGTAGGGGCACACATAAAAACGGTGATCGACAAAATGCCTCTCGTTTTACATTCAATGGATATATTTGGAAGTTTTTATGTATAGAGGAATTCGAATACCAACTGAAGAGGCGGAGGAGGAGGATGGGATACTGTACTTTTATGAAGTGACGACATCATATTTGGGAAGGCGGAGAGTCACCTTTGCCCACGTTTCATTGTTTCGAAAGTGCTCGAAAATGGGTTTCTGGATACAAGACCTTATCCGAGTTTTGAAGGATCATTTGCTATTCCCTCGCTAGGGTCGCTTGAAAATCATAACATGGAATGTAATTCCTGACATTTAAATAAATTCTGTTCTTCTAAAATTCTTTAAACGCCCACTTTAGCTCGTTTCTAACGGAAAATACCATAACACCTGTTATAGAATGACCCCACACTGTCAAGTTTGATCTGATGATTCTTGCTTCTTATGGAAGTTACCAAAATTGTCAACTGATGGAATGTTTATGATGTTATGATAAACAATATATCAGTTGATCTTTTTTTGTATATTTGACAGGAACCAGGACAAAATCGCCAAAAGTCAAAAGTTAAGGGGCCCTTCTATTACAGGGTCTACGGTATTCCCTGATTTCCACAGTTCCGTTCCTTTTGTTGGTCCCCATCATTCTTTCGGCATAAAATCAGTGTTTCAAATTTCTTGGGACAATTGTTAGAAGCACATGTTTTGTGCATATTTTGGGAGATGCGCGACTACGTATTTGCACACATCAGGAGGACGACGGATCGAATGTCACATACACACTATAATCTCATCTTGTAAGCGGCGGATGGTCTCCCTATGTCTTCCCCACTATCAAATTTATCCCGTATGTTTCAAGCCAATTGGCCTCTGCTGATGGTGGTCCCCACTTGCTTTTTCCCCTATGTTTTGTCTCATTAGACGATTGTTTTGACGACATTTGCATAGATCATACTAAACGATGCGTCTTCTTATTTTGTCCCAATTAGAAATTGTGTAATGGAATAGTGCGCGAAGAGGTTGATGAGAGCAGATAGGCTGCCTGGGTTCAGAAGGCGTTGTCGTTCCCTCGGATTCATTTTCATTCAACAATTGTCTAATCGGACAAATGAAGCAATGGGAACATGCCGCCGTGCCATACACACGTATTTCATTTCATAAGAAAGAGAAGGGCAGCTGGCCCGACGTCTTCCGGTTTGGCGCGTCTTCTTTTTTAGGATGAGCCGATGCAAATGATATTCGAAGTGATTAGTGAAAAGAGAGGAAGAGTCTATTAAGACACACGCCGACACGATGAGCTGGGGGGATGATCTGTTCGCGGTTGAAAAGCACTTAGTCTTTGCAATGAATGGTTTAAGAATTAGCTATTATTCAAGAGAACAAGTGGCAGGTGGCTGGTAGCATTGGGGGCATATTTTTGAAGACGGAATCACCTGTAAATCCAGAAGATTTAAATTGTTTTACTGGACTGCTCGGGGTTTTTGTGGAAGTCCCTTGCGGTGTAGAAACATTTTCAATCCCAGAAACCTCTTGTCTCTATGATTGGAGTCCAATCATCTCGTCTTCTTCTCATTAATTAGTATGTTGATGGAATTGTGGGGACATGTGTAGGTTTTGCCAGAGTTGTATCACTTAATGTATGTTGTCGAACTCTCCAGCAAAAGTATGGTGCAATGCATATAAATTAAATAATGCACAATAGGAAGGAGACAAGAATGGTCCCGGCGCATGAAAAACACATATGACGCGTTGATTCGCAGTGATGGGCCAACTGGCTCTCCTCCTTCCTGTCATATCCGTTATTATTTGGAGGATAACCACACACTGTGTTTCGCGCACTCATTTGTTTCGAAACATGACAAGCAGCACAATGTGTTTTCAGAAAGATAAACATCAGGAAGCTTTCTGAGCACTGACTCGTAATATGTAATGAGCAATTAAGAGAGGCTCCTCGGACCCCCATGAGCATCAGTCTGTTTTCAAAATTGCTTATTCTCAAAGGAAATGTTAATTTGTTGTGTTATATGTATGAGTATGTGCTGCACATCTTTTCAATCAAGTGCTGCTCATGTCGAATAAGGAGGACCATATTTTTTGTTGTTTCTTGAGGGAATTTGGATTTTGGAATGATTGCTTGTGGGGAAACGAATAACGAGAAAAAGATGGATTTGGAATTGAGTCTCAACTTCCTTTTAGTCCTCCCACAAATACAAATTCGCAAATGGCTTCGAAAACTAGAATAATTGAGTTTTCGAGAAATACATACATAGATAGAGAGAAGAGACCACCACCATCATCATGAAAAAAAAGTTTTAAAATAAACAAAATCTGGTTATTCCCCCCGGGTAAATGAGTTGAATGGTTGGGAAGAAGATTGGATAGTGAATTGATTTTTACCTGTCTACAGTAACCACAGAAGACAGCTACAGTATCTTAAAATATCGAACTTCAACATCTGTTCCCCAAGAAATGCTCCCTTTTCTCATCCCACCCAGCGCGGTTAGAGATGACAACAACTGTGTCAATCGGTCCACTCAAATATTGAGACAGCTCCCTCTCTATCATCCATTGATTCTGAGTGATTAGTGCTGCCGCTATTAACCGAAATATGAAGAAGCGGCTGGTCCCTCTCTTTCTTAAGTGTCGCGGGGATTCGCAACAAAAAGGTGCAGACCCACGACAACTGTTGTAGATAGATACCCGTTTTGTTGTGAATACAACACACGTCGCAAAATCATCAAATGACACATTTATCATATCTTGGTAGAGAGTCGGGTTGATAAAAGAAGATATTTGTCCCTTTCGGAAGAACTTTTAGATCCCCACCGCCGCACCGATCAACCTATGATTGATTAGAGAACATTGAAAACTACTATCACAAAGGTGTGAACATTCTGAAACATTTGATTTTTTCAGCAAGCCGCCGGCGGCGCTCCAGCTGCTGCTGCACCAGCCAATCCGGAACAAACCTATGCTTCGCAACTTGAGCAACTTCAATCGATGGGATTCTCGGATCGTGCTAGAAACATTGCAGGTAACATATTTTAACAGCTGTTATGGATATTATGCAATTAGAAGTTTCATAACATAATTTACAGCCCTCACCGCTGCATTCGGAGATCTCAACGCGGCTGTCGAACGTCTTCTCAACTCTCCACCACAGTAACACCCAACCCACACATTCTCTCCCAATAACTCGGTTGCCCCCACATTTTTGCCACCACCCCCTGTCAATTAAAGGAACATTCTTCTTCTTTTTTTTCTAAAAAAACTTATATTGGTCTGTGATCTTGTTTCTCTCGTCAAATATTCAAGAGTGTTCATCAGATGGCGTCGGTCCCCTATTTATTCGCAAATCCAAATTTTTTTTCCGTGTCTTTTACCGTTTCCTAGAGTATTCTGTATTCTTGTATGTTCCTCCACGATTCCTTATACATTATAAGTTATTTTTCCCTTTACACAGAATTCGTTAAAATAAATTCGAGCTTCTTTTTTTGAGATGTCCCTTTTTCCTTTCTTTTTCTCCCCAGATTATTCAGGAACGGTCAAAAAATGTGGGCGGATCTTCTGGAAGACGAAGAACAAGACAATGTGCATTTTGGAGCTGCTGGGGGAAAAACGAGAGGAGAGGCAGAGAGCAATCTGCTAATTCATTGTCCTTCTTGGTCTTCTGGAGGAGGAGGAGATGCCATGTCATCATTTCGGTTTTTATTGCCGCTTTTCTGAATTCGTCTCTTTTTTATGATTTTTGGTTTCGAAATTCAATTTTCCAGATTAGAAACTTTGTAGAAATCACTTACAGGAATTAAAGACCTTAGAAGACGTCGTAAAAGTTTTGAGAGGTTTTCAGGACATGCTTTTTATTTGATTATGAGAACAACGCTCTACTAGACTTTTTGAGAAACAACGTGTTTCAGTGGAGCGCATATGATAAAATAAAGGTTTTTGAGAAGGTGTTCTATTTTTAATAAGTGGAAACTTGTTTGAAAAAACAGTTATCAGGAAGCTTTTCAATTCATCAATAGAGATCATTTTCTAGATTTCAAATACAGTAAGAAGACAAATGCAAACGCGCTCTACCGAACTGCAACTTCCTAAATTATTTTTTGAGCGTACTTTATGAAAGAAAGCTGTATTAGGAATTCGAATTTGGCGGGGTGAACAAACGCGCCCTACCGGAATCGCGCGTTTCTCAATGGGATTTTGAAACTTTGGACCCATTCAGATTACTGTAATCCAGTCGCTGTTTCCTACTGTAGATTTCTGCATTCGTCAAAAATTGCATTCGCCTATTTCAGAGCTCTCGGAGCTGTGGAAGAGAAACCCGCTGATACCGAAGGTTCAACACCGACAACTACCGTAATCTAAAAATAAACGCTTTATTTTCCGGATTTATTTTCTCGAGTTTCGTGAGTTTTCAGTAAATTTTTTCAATATCGAACATTTTTATTTTTCGACTAATTTGGAAAAAAATACGAAAAAAAATATTTTCTGGTTACTGTAGTCGTTGGGACCTTCGGCCACGACCACCGATGTTTCTCTTCCTCAGCTGCGATTGTTCTGAGCCAGAGTAATAAAAGAAAACTTGATTTGAAATTTGAAGTTTGGTAGATCCACAAACGCGCTCTACTAAACTTCGCGTTTTCCAGTGGGATTTTGAAACTTTGGGCCCTTGCAGATTACTGTAGTCTAGTATCCTTAATACTGTAGTTTTCTCTATCCGTCCAATTATTAACTTTTTTTTCTCGGTAAGCTAAAATCCTGGAAATTTCGGTTTTCAAATTTGAGAACTTTCAAATTCCCTTTTCTCCCTCTCTCAATTTGATTGATAAATATACAAAGTGTTTCTATTTCTATTGAGTCGGTGAGAAAAGGACGACGTATACGATTTCTCAAAAGCAATAATTCACAAAAACGACCGTTCTTCCTCTTCTTCTTCCTCTTTATTCTCTTTATTCCAAGGTGTAACATATTGGAGAAGAAGAAGAAAGAACACGGGATAGATAGGGACACCTCAAATAATATTTACGAGCATCCCTCTAGATTCAGAAGACAACTGTGTCTTCTTCTTCTTCTTCTTCCACCGGAAAGAAGCAGAAGACGTCCCTGCTTCTTCTTCTTTTCTCGAAGAGGCGCATCTTTTTTGATTGACATCAGTGCTAATATTGAATAATAGATAATATACGAAGGTGACATGATGGGGAAGCGGTTTCTAGAGAGCAGTTAAGGAGAAGACGTTGTTGTATTATTCATTTGAGACAATATGGTCACTTTAGGAGGAAGAAGAAGAAGAGAAAAACATGATTTTATTTGAAATTAGAGAAAGAACAACATAAGAGGATACAAGACCCTTGGGAAATCGGTTTTCCACTTCACTCTAAAACAAGAGAGAATGAGTTTCTAATGGTTTTGGGTTTCTATGTATGCACATTTATATGATCATCAAGATTTGGGCTCAATTTTGAGAAAGTTAATTGTGTAGTTTGTAGTTTAAATGCTTTCCGGGGTTACTGTAGAATCTCACTCTCCTGTGTTACTATAGGTCATGTTCGATTTGTCTCGGTTTCTGAAAAAGTTCTCTTTTTTTTCAAAACCTGAAAGCTTGTAAAATAATTTGATAATTTTGCTTTACTTAACCACCCTTGGAAGTTGGCTAAAACACAGTAATACCGGTAATAGAAGAGCCTTCTCACTTTGAGCTAATCGATCTCGGTTCCTGTTGAAGATATCACAATTTTGTCAGCTGGCAAAATATTTTTGACTTTGCAATAATTTTTTTGTTAGTTGACTATTTTTTGATCTTTTACAGTAACGGAGATATCTAGGCTCAAAGTTGAAAAGCCGGTTCTTCTCGGCTGATGTATCTCGGTTCCTGTGAAAGATATCAAAAATTGGTTAACTAACAAAATATTTATCGTAATATCATAAACATTTTGTGAGTTGGCCACTTTTTGATATCTTTCCCAGAAAATGAGATATATGGGCTCAAACTTGAGTGGCCTTTTATTAGAGTGTTTAAGACCCTTGAAATTGCTTTAAGACCCTTGAAATTGCTTACTTTATAAATACTAGAATTCTCGGAATTCAAATTTCCTGCTTCTCCAACCACGCTCTATCGACAACCAGGGTTAGCTTCCTCCGCGGCTCTCCCGATTTTCTGCACCTTATTTGTAAAATGTTTTTCAGAAAAAACTCTAACCAGTTTGTAGTCCGATGCCTTGGTGTCGAAAGTTGTCATAAATTGTTGAGGCAGTCGATTTCTCAACTATTTCTGTGTGTTGTCGAACACTGACTGACTCTTTCGCCCCTCCTACGCTCACAAATTTTTATTTGACACAAGTCCATCAAGATACGATCAGATGAAGAGTTAGAATTAGAAGAAGAAGACGAAGGATATCACATAAAAACACTTTTTGAATTGTATATATTGGAGACACACACGCACTCACAAATCTCAAAATAATCTGGAAACGGGATCTGATGATTGAGTAGGATGTGGTATGGGAGAGAAAGTGAGAGGAGGAGCGAGAAAAGAAGATGTGACATTCTGAAAAGGAAAAAATGTTTTTTTGAAAATCTGGAATCTTTGGGACTGCATTTTAGCCTTGTAGTTTGTGGTCTGAAGTTTTCAATCGCAGAGCACCCTGCTTTAACCTTGAACCCTTGGACCAAGACAGAAAAGAAATTAGTAGATGTCGAGCATTGAGGTGCCATATTGATTCAGTATTTACCGTAACAGAATCTATTTCATCAGTTTATCAGTTTTTGATGTCCATCACAGGAACTAAGATGAACTTGTTTAAAGTTGACTGTTAGAAGGGTCGTTCCGTTGAAGTTTTTACGGATTTATATTTGAAAATGACCGAATTTTATTTTTCTTAAAAACAGGGTAAATGTTTTTGGACAAAGCTGAGAATAACTGTCAAAACTTACAGAAATACAACTTGGTTTGTTTCAAACGGTATATCTCATTTGGAGAAATTCGTACGGAAAAGTTGTCATCTACAAAATCTATTTTTGTTTAGTACACTGCGAAAATTTGAGTCTTGCTCAACGAAATTTACAATATTTTTTAGACTCCGAAGTCGGCTATTTTCGACAAAAACATGCAAAACGGTACTTTAGATGATATCGATTGAGTTCTGAAGCGAAGCTTCATAAAGTAGACGGCCATATGGTTTGTAGGTTATAATCTGAAATTCTTCAAATTTCTGTACAAAAATTGTAACCTCAAACCTTTCCAATGAAACACTCTCCTCCAAAATTCCAACCAAAACTAAAATTCCATTACAAAATTTTTTTTTTCTCAAACTCATTTCCTTTTTTGTCTTCCTCTCCAACGACGACTTCAGAATTCAAAAGAAGCAGCACATCATCAAATGTGCATTGATTTCTTCTTTTCTCATTTTTCGCTCCTCCTCCATTTCTCATGCTTTTGCCTATTTTACACGACCGAGACGATAGACGATAGATAGCAAAAGGCGTTTTTAATTAAATTTCAAATTCATTTTATTTCACAAAACGCTGCTGTGCTTCTTCTGTGATGCTCGGAAATTGTCCTTGCTAGAAGAGAGCTCGTAATGCTTCTGTGGGAACTACTGTAGTTATGACGGGCAGAGCATAAGCCACGCCCCGCGCATCAGAAAGAATTATTATTGGTTGGGGGGAGACGAAGGCATATGGATGGGGGAGGAGTCAGAAGAGAGAAGAGAGATTCTGCGCATGCTTTTCTTGGAGCTCAGAAGCCTCGATTATTAGCTGCTCTTTTAGAGATTCTGAACATCGAAGGAGACGTAGAGAAGTCAGAGATTACAGAGCTTTTTTTTCTTTTCTCTCCTTTTTTCTTACTTTTCTGTCTCTCATCCATTCTTCTTCAGTGTCCCACATCTTCTGGGTCCGGGGCTTTGTTTTTTGAAATTTTCAGAATCTTTTCTGTTTGCTGAAAGTTCAAGTCTAGGGCGATCCAATAATCTAAACATTTCTAGAGCATTGTCGTAGAGCTCCTCCTCTTCATATCGATCGATCTGCTTCCTTTTCTCTCTTCTCCTAATAAAACTTCTCCGATTCAAATTGAAATTCAAACTCTCATGATGACATCAGTGTACATAAATACACCTCGTGTCACTTTTCAAACACATTCCTTGATCCTTCTCATTTCCATTCATT